TTGTGCAAAAGATTGTCTTAGTGGAAAGTGTACGATACTTGATCACCATTGTACAAAATATCAATAATAAAAATTCCTTCCTTTGTCTCCGTCTTGTTGTTTTCTACAATTGGTGTCGCTGCCAGGATGTTTGGCAGAACATCATCCTAAGCAATGGTTACGCCTCCAAGAAGCTTATTCAACTCCATATCGTTACGGATAGCTAACTGTAAGTGATGTGAGATGATACGTGTCTTCTTGTTATCATAAGCAGCATTACCAACCAGCTTCAACACTCCTGCTGCCAGATATTCGAGGATAGCCACCAGGTACACTGAACTATTATTGTATGTGAAGTTAGACTTGAGAGAAGCATTTTATTCACAGAAGACATACATTCACATCAATAACGAGATCTTTTTCATACACAGCAATGTTGTCAATCTTTATGTGGTGGCCTTCTGATATAATCTAGCAATACACATAAAGGTATGGTTACTGTTACGCCTGCAAATGTCATGTAAATCGATCTCAACAGGAAATATGCTGATAATCTTGTATCATGGAACTGTTTCGATAGGACACTTGGACTGAATACGTGGCTATTCACTAAGTGTTACGAAAATATCATAAAACTCAAATGATTTTATTCGACATAAATACATCAGATATACAGTTTTCACAAAAATAAAAGTGAATTAGATCGAAGATTAAAAAAAACAGCCTATCCTGATTGGCTCTATAAAAAGCACAAATTGTTCAATGAGATTATCGTGATCGCCAAGCTCTGTAGGTTAAAATATCCTATTTTCCTGATGAAGCTTGGACTAGACTTCAGTGCGAAACGTTGGAATTATTTTATTTCAAACATTCTGTGGCTTACACAAATACAAACTATATCTAATGTCAAAGAAATTTAGTTTACCAAATCGCTTTCAATGATTGTGAGGTCAAAGTAGTCGACTGTAATCATTTAAAGTACCAGAGCACAAAAACTTAGGTAAATCAAGATTAGTAGGTCTTAATAAGGCAAGGAATTCAGAGACAATCTTCATAATACCTATGCATGCAACTACACACAATAGGGTGGGAAGAGGAACAACATTAAAAACTAATTTAGTTGGGTGGAGGGAGAGAATGATAACTGAATCTTTAGGTTGCTATTCATCATGGATTGACATCAGTTGAAGGAATATTAGAAACCTGGGAGCACTGTTTTTATCCTGGTATGGGAGTCCTCAGCAGTGTGGACCCATGACCCCGCCTTACTGAAGATCGAACTTTCAGGTTCCATCACCAGCACGGTACCATTGATTCATTGGGTCGGAGTCCAATGGTCCACATTGCTGAGGAGTTCGATAATGGGACGAAACAGCTGTCCATTGCTTCTAGATTTTCAGTGATTCTCCAACTGATGTCATTCTAGAATGAATACCAACTCAATGACGCGAAATATTGATTTCCATTTTAACCGCTTCGTATCATAATTTATCTGCTCGGAGACAAAATAAACGTGGAACCTCGCACAAAAATGCATAAATTTAAGTTGCCACTAGTGGATAAAAAAGTGAGTGATACCAAAGTAGACAGAGTTGTTTGTGAGAAGAAGCGCTTTGAAGATAACAGTTAGTGCAAATATTCGGGCTTTAGATGTCAAAGAGTTAATGCATCTACCCCATTGTAACCGATTTCAAGCCATATCAACAAGAGTGTTTCAATGACTGAATCCCATTGTTCTGGGAATCCCAGTAAGGGACTTCATCGACTGGTGCCAGGTCTTCATCTGGTCATCCTAAACTCTCTTCCAACCTAATCTAATTCCTCTTAGTATGGCATGTCGAGGTAGGTGATGGCTCGGCATGTCCAGTACATGTCTCAGCCATCTCAGCCGACCGAGGTTCACAACCTCATTAATCAATTTGCCTATGTTGCCTAGCACCCTTTGACTGACCTCAACATTGCTCACTCAATCATTCCATCAAACGCAAACAATGGTACGAAGACACCTGTGGTCGAAACCCTGCAATTGCTCCATATTTTCTGCTTTTAACAGTCATGTCTCACAGCCGTATAACAGGATAGGACGGACTACAGCGCAGTGTACTTGTCCTTTGATAGATAGTCGGATATCTTGCCAGTCGGCGCCATAGGTGATGCAAGTTGGCAAATAGTAAAAAAGCCTTCTGTATCTGAGCTGAGATTTCTGTAGCGACCGACACATTCCACCACTGAACTCTCTGTCATTAAAGTGGCAGCGGTTGCAGACCAGTTCTGGAGTATCATCTTAAATTTTACAGGTGTCGGAGAAACGCATGCCGAACATATTCACATTTCCGCTCAACGCGTTCAGAAAACCCTGCACTTTGTCAGCGTCTTCATGTAGCAGGACAATATCGTCTGTGTACTCCAAGCCAACTAGATGGCCTCCAGGGGTAGGTCAGTCCTTTTGAAGTCAAACCTACCTAAGGTTATGTCCATTACTATGTCTATAATAAAGTTACATGGGAACGGTGACAGTGAGCATCCCTGGCGAACACCACTAGTTGCCGTCAATTCTGCAAACAACTCTCCATTAGCCGTGACTAAGGGGCGTGAGTTTGAGTAGACAGCTGTGATTAGTATTATATACTTGCTCGATATTCCCTTTACAGTCAGACACTGCCACAACCTCACGGCCAAACGCCACCTTCAGGTCAAGAAATATGGCAAGTGTTGGCCATTGGCCGGTAGGTATGCTTGTGTTCCAGAACCTGTCGGAGGGTAAAAATCTGATCAATGCACCCTCGTCCAGCTCTGTCTGAAACCTGCCTGCTTTTGTCAAGTTTGCTGTTCTCGAGCTCCAGTTAGTCATCGGATAAGTATGGAAGCTAGGATCTTGGACGAACTATTAGTCAATATGTAATATTTTATCGAATTCGCTCCGTAGACAATATTTTTAAATGCGAAATGATAATTGTATTTGAATATAATTTCAATAATCATAGTATTGTAAGCATAATACTGGCGATGTAGGGTCACTGAGCCAGCAGGAGAATCTGCAGTTGGTGCCAGTTTATGTGAATTATGGTTATTAACTTAAGATCTCATAAGCAACCATAAGTGTTTTCTCTTAATTTAATTGTGAACTGTCAGTGATAGGTTAAAAGCATTTTAAAGGTGAATGAGAGCAGATTATACGATTTGAGACTGTATTTTAGTAGTGAAGACAAATTCCAAAGAACTGGTCTTACGCAATCCATTTACTTGAAAGGTTGAAGTTTAAACAAGTCATCAAATTAGTTGGCTAACTTCAAAATATGAGCAAGACTTCATCAACTTTTCCATATACTATACGGTATCTTAAAATTCTGTCACTTAATAATAGTCTAGTTTTCCCACTGGTGAGAGGTGTACCCTGTCTATTAGATGTTAACATACCAATCGTTATGATTGAGTAGTGCTTTTCGTACATTAAGCATTGTGTTAGTTTTAACGTGAGTATTTTTGTTGACAGCTCATTGCCATTTTAGTCTGTTTGCCTCAGTACGTTTCAAACATAGCCGTTCAAATTGTTATTCTTTTTTGTTATCGAAGTTAAAATGCAAGGTTTGCTTAACATTTGCAAATGACACCATCTGCGACGCCAGACAGCTATCCAACTACATACCAGACTACTGTAATCCTATACATGAATCTTCGTTGTTCTACTCTGAGGCTATGAGATGCAGCCACTTAAAGGGGAAAATTGTAGGAGCCTAGCAAACAGTACTCGGATTTAGTGAGACATTATGGCACGTCATGTGCACCTATGAGCCCTGCAAGAGAGTTTTGGACAGTGAAGAATAATCCAGATAGTCTTCATCACCAGCTGAACCATTGAAAAACTGGAAGCACTGGGGACCTACTTCGTCCTAGTATGAAACTTCTCAACAGTGTGCATCCATGACCTCCAAAATGAAATGCTGTCCAGGGCTCATGAATGAGACGCTTCGAGAAGTTTGAATAAACAGTTGTGATCTGTGAGTCAAAGTAAGTTAGATGTGAGGACAATTACTTAACGATGGCATTGGATGATAGTGGCACCATATTGTGAATTTACAGAACTAAATAAGTGTAGAACATCGGATTCTGATCCGGTGACGAAATGGTTAACGTGCTTGCTGCAAAACTCGACGGTACCTGGGGAGTTCAGGGGATTGGGGGGACACCACTCAAGAATCCCATACTAGGACGAAACAACTGTCCCGTGCTCTAATGATTTTAAACCTCTAACGTAAAAAGGTTATCAATTGATCGAATCTGTATCAAATTAAAGGACTGAAATATTCAAATCTAACTGTTATCTACATCAATATGAAATGTAGATTAAAGTGGACTGAAGTCAGAAAAAGGCTAACGGTAACCAAATTAAGATATGAAAAACTTGATGAAGTCATCATTTATTGGTTTGAACAGCTTAGAGAAGTGTTTGCCAACTGACTGAATCTTTCAGGAGTTAAAAATTCGATACCAACTGGAAATTGATTACTGTAGGTATGAATATATTCATTACTTATTATCTTCAAAATTCTAAACATTATATTAACCAAATGCTCGTCCTGGATTCTTCTGCTAGCCACAACCAACCAATTTATGATGTTAACTCTTATTTATTCATCATTTTATATCCTTTTTATTTATTATCTAAATGATTTTTGTTCTGGATTATTACTGGACAACTTCATACTGAAATTAGTGCTGATGATGTCGTCCAGAAAGACGATGAAAGTTTCACGATTAAACAATCCAGCTTAGAGAACACAATACAACCAAGACCATCCACCTGAACTACAAATATTCTTCATTATTTCAAAAAATGGACTACCAAACTTTAATTCAATGATTCTACATTCTTTCATCTGTTTTTATTTTCTTCTATTGACTCATCTGAGAAAACAGTGTGTCAAAAGGAATAAATACACATTTGTTTGTTTGTTTTTAAAGGCGAAATTTCTTTAAAATCTGTTACTATAAGTATTTTCATTTTATGCATATCTTTCTAGGCTGGTTTAACTGTTCGTGCTTGTAGACCAGAGGATCATGTATTCATCTTGATGCAGTTATTACGTCTACCATCACAACTGATCAAGTTATTTGTATGCTTATTACAACCACCAGATCCAACTATTGCATGGGAAAGAACAAAAAATCTTGTCGATTTCTTATATCAACCAGAAGTTGAACTTATACTGACATTGTTTTCAGTGTGTTTACGTCCTGTTCGGTAAGTTCATCAATCGAATAGTAGTGTTCAGGGGTTATAGAATCGCGGCTCATTGGTTCGCGGGTTCTAACACCGTTCTACACTTTTTAAGATCTGGAAAACCAGATAGTATCATAAATCCTCAAATAATATATTTAGCTCATTGCCTACTCTACAGATGCATACAAGGTTGTTGAGTGGATTTCGGTCATAGGATATGATTGTTGAGCATTCTAATTCAATCTTCAGTGCAAGTACTATCAAACAGTAGTAAGACGTCATGAATTCACATGGTAGTCAGACAAAACTGTTGATGATTGAAGTAAAATAAAAATCTGGTCAGCTGTCGAACCTTGTAGCTCAGTTGGTAGGGTACCGGACTGGATAGCCGGTGGTTGCTGATTCGAATCCGGCTACGGTCTGAAATTTTCATTTCATCTTCAATCATCACCCAGTATCAATTACTAATTAGTTAATATTGATTTGTTTCATTTCAGGGTAGCTTTTTACGTAAACACATATCACCTAAATGACTACCGAGAAGCAAGGAGTTTTGAATGAATATTTCCTATGATTTCAGACTAGCTAACAACTCGCACTGTTCATCATTTTCCAAATTGGATACTAAATCCTGCAAGTCTTATGAGGAAAAACTACTATCATTCTTCAACTATGGTCGATTCCCGTTATTCAGTGAAACAGACAGGCAAGCGTAGAAGATTTATTAAAAGTTCAATAGTTCGATGAGTAAATCATATTTTGCTAGCAGAACATAGGTGAAATTAAGAGAAGTATGTAGGTAATCATGTAAACATGAAGAGTACTAATGTAAAGACAGAAATTGATGAGAAATCTCATAAGATGTTTATGATTTTGATAAGAAGAAGTCAATTCGCTCCAGTATGCTTCATCTTTTGCGTAGTTCACTGATAGTCCATCATCTATTGATTATAAATACAAGAAAGATTTTAATTAGTCTATACTTCTATACATCGACTATATCAGCCTTAATAGATTTGTCTATAACTGTATTACAATGTAATCAAGAGGTGTTCTTTCTTACTTTCAGTTCAGAAAAAGTGCTCAACTAAGTTGGAGTTCTCGTTGTTAACTGAAATTACTTGACAAGCTTTTACGATCCAGCGAGTTGTGTGTAATTGTTTAATTTTTATAGTTGAAACTATTGAGTAATCGTAATGCACTCAACAATCTTGTGCACATTTTTATGTAGTAGGCAATATGCCACATTTATTCTATGGAAACTATTTAGCTGCCAAAACCTCAACAAGTGGGCTGGTGTTCGAACACGTAATTAATGAGCCATAATTTCATCTTTTGAATAATGTGCTTTCTTTAACCTGTCCTGCATAATCCTGTTATCATATGCTATCAAGATCTACCAAGTGTTTACAATATACTGTGGAAGTTTCAGGTTTATTTATACTTTATTCTGCTTATTTTCTTCTTTTTTTTTCTCTCACTTTCAGAGAACGAGAACGTTTTGTAACTCCTCTAACTATATCAACACCATATGGCGAAACAAATTTCACCTTAAATAAAGATGAAACACTTTGGACTACAGTTGATTCAGCTGGTGAAAGTGATACAGAAGATAGAATTGATCTCAATAATAAAAGAAAAAAGAATTCAACATCTAAACTACTCGAAATGTGTACATCATCATCTAATAGTCAAGAATCATGTACATATTTAAGTCCTGATGATTTAGACCTTCTACTTGGACAGTTAAGAATTGAACGTCTTCTACAACTTTTAGCCTATGATTATATTCCTCAACGTATAAATGTAGAAGAATATCAAATTAATGAGTCTGGATTTATGACTTCAATTGCATTTGCTGATCGAATGTTAAGCTTAATTGAAGCATGTGAGAAAATCTACTCAGATTACGTTCCTCCACCTGGTCCACAAACTCATTTAGGCTCTTGGCGTTCATTAGCCAAACGATTGGCGCGTTTAATTAGGTTAGTTACTGATTTTGTTGAATAAGTTAAGATGACTATTTCTGTTTATCCTAATTTAATCAAATGTAATTGTTATGCACCTTTCTGAATTGAGTTAGTGTGTGAATGAGCCGTTGGTTAGCTTATTCTGAAGTGAACAGATCGGTTTTTCAGAGTTTGAATAATATTGACCTTAGTGTAGAATAGTTTTACACTACTTTTGTAAGTCATCCGTATCTTCAGAAAGCAATACTACTTGAATATTCCAAATCCTGCTGTTAAAATAATGGAGAATATTTGTAGTTCAGGTGGATGGTCTTGGTTGTATTGCATTCTCTTAGCTGGGTTGTTTAATCGTGAAGCTTTCATCGTCTTTCTGGACGACATCATCAGCACTAACTTCAGTATAAAGTGAGCTGCCAATATCTCTCCGTGAGTAATTTAGTAGCTTACTCTGACGATCTGGTCTGTGATTGGTTGTTTCCTTCGATTGTTGTCATTGACTGTATAGACTTTCCTGTTGACTGTTCCTCTGCTTCACCTCTGAGCTTTCTATCATTTACCGTTTTCACCATTGGGTGATAGATTGGGTCTATATCTATACATCTGTTGATTGCTGACTGGCTGACCTGAATGCCAAGCTTCTAGGAATTCTCCGATATTCTTTGTGTTTCCTCTGTATTGTCGAAATTGATTTCATGTCCATAGCTGTTATCCATGTGCATTGAAATAGGTGATGAAATATCTTGAAGTTTAATAGCCAATTGGTGTTCATTTAGGTGAAGGTGAAGAGGGCGACCACCTTGTCCAATGTAGTGTTGACCACAGTTATTGCAGCTGATTTTGTAAATGGTGTTCGGTTGGTCTTCTTTTGTTGTCGCCTCCTTTGGTCTACATAATAGTGTTTGGAGGGAATTTGTTAGTTTACGAGCCACACCAATTCCAAGTGGTCTCAGCAATCTTTTCATGATTTCTGATATATCCTTTATGTACGGTAGGATGGTGCGTTTATTGATTTCTGTCGATGACTTTGTGGTTGGTGATGAATGAGATAGGCAGCCAATGGGAATACCATCAAGCGGTAGTCACGCATCACGAATTCATATGGTAGTCGGGAAAAACTGTTGCTGATTGAAGTAAAATAAAAATTTGGTCGGCAGTCGGGTATTGTAGCTCAGTTGGTAGACCACCGGACTGGAAACCCGTTGGTCGCTGGTTCGAATCCGACCGCTGTCCAAAATTTTCATTTCACCTCCAATGATCACTCCAGTATAAAAAAGTGATAATATCGACCAATGCACTTGCAGTATAGATGATAATGAGGATAAAAATTAAGAAAGCAGCATGAAAATGTAGACAGTCCGATAATCAAAGTGGGTCAATAGCTCGGAAAGTAAGTGGATAAACAAAGTCTGAAATGGACGTGGTTTGGCAGACTAGTATTGATACTGATTGATGGTTAAAGATAAAAATTTGGGCCTCATAGCTCAGTTGGTAGAACATCGTGTCGGAAAACTTAGTGGTCACTGGTTCGAATCCGGCTACGGTCCAAATTTTCATTTCACCTTCAATTATCTATAAATGTATTTTTAGGTTCCTAGAGGATTTTAATTTTAAGGAAGTATTCATCATGGATTGACATTAGTTGGAAACCTGAGAGCACTGAACAACTCTTTACTCCCAGTTTGGGACTCTTCAGTCGTACGCAGCCACGACCCAATTCGGGATGAAACTCCAGGACCTCCAGGTATCACAGCGAATGCGTTAACCATTCAGCTACTAGGTTGCTGCGTACCGCTGAGTAGTCCCATACTGAGACGAAATAACCGCTGAGTGCTCCAATGTTTTCGATGGTTCTCCTACTGATGTCAGTCAGTGATCAGTTGTACATGCTTGTTATTTCAGTTCTGATCATTTCCCTGAAGAAGCTTGGACCAGACTTCTATGCGAAACACGTGAGTTAAACAAGTACAAACCATATCTAATGTTAGGACAACACAGTTTTAAGATGACTTGCCTGATGGTTCTGTTGAGTTTCGCTTATAATTTAAGGCTACCAAACGTCTTATTTTTCATGTCTTCTACTCACACCAGTCATATTTCAAAGTCGTAAAAGGTGACAGTCATACAAGATCCAAATAACAACAAAATAATGTGAAAATTTCTTTCGCTGTGCATTGTTTGCACCCGTCTGAACTATGCTATTCATGTGTTGAAGTTCACTCGGTTGTTCACCGTTGAAAAAAATCCATTTTTCATAAGCGGTTGCTGATGTGACAACTTTAAAAGAAAGGTCTACTGTGGTTTTAAACTGAAACAGAAATTATCAAAATTATGAAATAACCATTCATAAGTTAGCTTATACTTTCCAGTGTTCCAGATCTTACCGAATAATATGAAGGTGATTAAGTGATCCGAAAGATTTTTCAATAGCAGACCAAAATAGAATGTTTCGATCAGCAGGACAGACTATTGAACTGAGATTAGCGGGTGTGAACATGGTACTTCATCATCTTCAGGTGTATTTGGACATATGCAGCTGTGTGATGATAGTAAAAATCGCCTTACAGGGTTTTCAGAAATTTCTTAAACTATTCCTAGATACATGGCCATTATTATTATATTATTTATCACTTGGGTTCCTAGTGGAACATATAGGGCTTCAGTAGCACGCCTCTATTCCACTCTGTTCTCTGCAATCTTTTAAACCTGACTCCACAACTGCCCACAAGCTCTCATTTCTTCCTCATATCATCTCCTCCATGTCACCCTCGCCTCGGATGCCCAACTTACCGTTTCCCATTTGGGTTCCACTCGAGTGACTGGCCTGGCGCGTGATGTCCCCAAATGGTCTTCTCAGTGCATACCCAATCCATCTCCACTTCCTTCTGCATATTTGTTGGGTGATGGGTTCTTGGTTGGTTCATGTTCGTTGCCAGAGTTCCTTGTTGCTTATTCTTATTATTCTGGCCATATGAGCTTCAGTAACGAGCCAGCGTAGGCAGTTGTTGATGAATATCTGTAGTTTGTTAGGTGGCCATTATTGGATTTTAGTTATTCAGTATGAAACTATGTTTATTTTCTGGCCTCCTGAAGAACTTCCTTGTTCATCAGTGATTAGCCCAAGATATTCTTTGTAGGGAGCCATCGACTCTGTCATCTGTCACGGTGATAATGTTAGTAATAACTCAACAGGTAAATACAATACATGTCTGTCTATATATTGGGCTATGAGGAATACTCAACTTGTAATGACTCCTTTTACAATGTATATGTCGTGGTTGAAGTAGACAGAGTGGAATTAGAAGCTTTAACTCATTATCTGAACGATAAACATCTAATTGGATCAATCAGAGCTCTGCACAAATAGATCCTAACCAAAAACTGTTCATAAATTCTAGAAAGAATGAGTCAAACAGTTCAATACTTAATGGGAAAAAAAACAACCACTTTTATAATGATACTTTTCTACTTTGATATAATCTTGTTTTCTTAACTACTCTATGGTAAATTATCATATTTTTTTTTCTTTTAAATTACAAAGGTTATTACTTATTGCCATTGGCTATCGGATACAAAACACAATACATCAACAACATCATTACCAAGGAATGTTATTGAATTCACAAGAATTCATGCTTATTTTATCACAGTATGATAGCTTATGTCTTCGTGCAACCCGTTGTCTATTGGTATCAGGTAGTGGTTTACCTGAAAATTATCGAAAAGCTGGTCTACTCACATGTTGGCGTAATTTAGCCTGTACACTACCATTAGGTTTAACTCTGGTTAAATCGAAACAAGAATTATTTTATATAATTATACAATCGGTTTTACAAAATAATAATAATAGTGATCATCGTAAAAGTAATGAAGATTATATTTGTCATAAAATTAAAGAGTGTATAATGCATAATAACAGTGATTTAGAATTTACTTTACCTGATATAATATTAGATAAATTACATCATGTATTATTATCAATTGGATTGAATGAACTTGGTCTTTCTGTAGTTATTAGTGTATTGGGTAAATTAGCGTCATATGAATGTCGACCGAGAATTGTATTCTACACTACATCTACTACGCCTACATCGTCAACAGTAGCCTCAACGAATACTTCTTATAGATATGAATTAGTTAAAGAAGAGGCTGTATTAATCAAGTGTATCCTGCGTATTATATTCGGTGTAAGTGTGAAAAAAATAATATGAAATTTTCTTCTTGTTAACAAAAATAAACAGAATATTATGAATTCTTAATTAATTTTATTTGCTTTTATATATGTTTTCATCGAATTTTATAACATTTATTTACCTATACTTTGGTGGTGATGGGGGTGGGTGGGTGGGGGGAGCATTCACCTGATCCTTCACTATTCATGGCTGATAATTTAACTCAGTAACTGAAACTGTAGTTCATTGGTTTAGACAGTTGACTTTCAACCATGAGTTCGAACACTGCCCCACCTATCAAGGTTTGGGAAGGCTGTTAGTATTCACTATCCGTTACACAACACGTGTAGTTTATTACCTCATACATGAATTTTGCTTGAGGTTTTTGAATATTCTTCGATTTTTCACCCAACAGGGTGTAAACCACACTTGATATGTTGCTGAGGTAGATAGAGTGGGAGCTGAATCTGGAACGCATAATGCATAAAGTTATAGTATAGTTTAGTGATCTAGATAAGGACATTTTTTTAGTCTTATCACATTTGTTTATTCCAGACTAATAGCGGCTATCTCAACATAGTGATCAGGCTTGTATATCATAATGTCACAACGAGCTATGCTGATGGAACGCTTGCTCCCTCGAGGTCCTACCGTACCAGAAAGGTCTATTGGACAGTGGACAGTTACTGTTGTAGTGTAAGTTGCTACATTATGATGGAAGTCTGGCGGGACGGGGGTGTGACAGCAGTAAGGGGTTTCCTTCGGATGACCAGCAGTTGATGCTCCCTTCCATACGGCAAGAGATATTAGAAAAGGTTAGTTCTAAAAAATAGCACTCCATGCCATACCGATGCCCGTGAAATAGTTTCATAATCGGATTCAAAAGCAACAAACTAACATCTCAAACTTGAAAAAGGGCCGTGTGTGACCAACTTTAGACAGGTGTCCCTCGGACTGTGTGGTCACACACTAACCGTTTTTCAGTCACCTCAAGAAGAAATAACCTTCCACGGTGTGGGTAACCAGGAAGTGTCAACCGTCCATATCCTTAGGTTGCATACCATACTGTTTCCATTTGTCTGCTTGTCGCCTACAGTTCAAAAATCACCTAACCACTCCTTATGGAAAGCACAGTGAAATGAATGGTAGAGTATCATGTACTGTAACATTTGGACGGATCTCAAAGTGTTGGAAATAAGAAATTTCAACGTTCCACATAGAAGTCTGGTCCGTGCTTCTTCAGGAAATAATCAAAATCTACATTGTATCATAGATACATGTATAACAGGTCATAATCGAATCGAGATTGGATAGTGATATATATATATATACTAATGTAGATTTTGATGATTTCCCCGAAGAAGCTCGGATCATGCGAAACGTTGGAATTTCTTATTTCAAACACTCTGAGATTTGTCCAAATATGACTTATATCTAATATCAACTTTTCACTTGGTGCCTAATATCTGTGAAATTCTCCGGTCAAATCTTGACCAGAATTCATATAAATTAAGGGGATTCTATTTCCTGGTTCACTGTTTGACACCACAGCGTGAAACTCCACTCAATTTTGTTTACTAAACTGTGAACCCCATGGATGCTGTTTAAGGCTAACGATACAAAGTAGCTAAAAGATTTCAGCCTATGTAGACTAATGAAGTAATCAGCCGCACCTCTGAACCTACGCCATTTCCTTTGGCTTACACAACTGTAAAATGCCATAGAGTCTAGCATATATTAAATACGGTTTATATCCTGATGCGCAAGTATATGTAAAATCACCGAGTTATACAGTAGTCTCTAAAATATGTTGCGATTTCTCATACTACGCCTCACTATCATGGATGTGAACTCCTGAGGCGTCTGAAACCAGAACAAGTCAGCTGCCTATCACTTTTTAGTTTTCAATTGTTCTTTGACTAGTGTTCATTCACAATCAGTTGCTTCACAAACGTAAAATATTTTCTTATTTCAGTTAGATATTTCATCACCTCAACAAAAGTTTTCATCCTAGACCCTGTTATATCCCTTTTGAACTTAGCAAACTGAAATTCATGTATTGCCTTTGAAATAAATTGAGCTATTCAGTTTGGAAGCTTGTGGGGAATTATTTATTGTTTTCAAGTTGATATCCATCCCGGACTGACGTCATTTTGAGGACCCGGAGCACTGGATAGCTGTTTCGTCCTAGTATAGGACTCCTCAGCAGGGCATACTCATGACCTCGCCGGGGATCGAACCCAGAACTTTCATGTTCCACGGCCAGCACGTTACCATTGAGCCATTGGGTCAGAATCGAATGATCTACATTGCTAAGGAGTTCGGTACTGGGACGAATCAGTTGTCCAAAGCTCCCAGGTTTTCAATGATTCTCTAACTGATGTCATTCTGGAATGAATACTAACTTTAAAATAAATAAATAACCCACCATTTCGATTGGTATGATGGATTTACAACTAGTACACAGTTGTTATGGCTGTTTAAAGTGTAGATCCTGTGGTATCATACTGTGGATGGTTTAAATGGCTTTATTTTTTTTTTTATAATCTCATTATTTCTTTGTTCATTTTAGTTATCCATCTATCACCGATCACAGGATGTTATGAATATAAGGGATAGTAAAACGAAGTCAAGGCATTCATCTATTCTTTCATTATTGCCTATATCCCCAAAATGTGGACGTAAACAATTGGTTGAAATCACTAGTAAACATCCACAAATATGTTTACACTTATTGTTCAGTCTAATTACTGAAAGTGCTTTGGATATAACTAAAAATCCAACATTAACATCAAAGTTGCATAGTCGAATAACTCAGTTAAATCTCTGTTTCACTGATCAATATGTGAGAGTAGAAGAAGTAAGCTGTAATCTTTTCTGTTGTGATTTAATTTTGGAAAGCAGTTCATTCTCTAGATACTATACCCCGGAACCACTAACTACCCACAGTTCTATGGACATGCCTAATAAACAGTCATATGTGTGGTCAATATTTGTAGCTCGTTGTGTAGATGTTCAGAATGAATTGTTCTCTGAGCTAGGGTTTGAGTTAGCGAACCTCTCAGCATCATGATAGACACCGCCATCAGAGCTTCACAAGGAAGTGAAGTAATTAGTTTTGTATTTATAACATGCTAATGTATCTAATTGTGATTTGATTGGTCGCTTGGTGAGTGTTCGTACGTATTCTGAACCTGATTGGTTGATTTCCTGCCTCTACTTTTCTCACAGGAGTGTTCGACTATGTGGTTGGTTGATTTTGTATTTTTTTCTTGCTTGCTCTATGTGTCAACAAACAGCATCAATTGTTGACATGCTCAAATACAAGAAGGCAATTTTCAAGTATCGTTCCAATTTAGGCATTGCCTTGGAGTTTGGTTTCATTTCAATTCGTTTATTAGATGTTTAACACAATGAAACAGTATTACTATCAGCCTATTACCATATAAAAGTATTTCTACAACTTTTAGGTGTTTAAGGAATATAGTTCTAATCACACAAATTGTTGTATTGTTTGAGTAGTGGAATTTTCAAGATATCTGGAGCATTCACTGGATCAATTCTATTGCGTGTAGTTGATGCTGATTCAATAGACAAAATTCAGTTATCAGTCTCTCCCATAAACTACCTAAGTTAGTTTTGGGGACCTTCTTTATATCCTATCTGTTATAGGGTTATGCATAATAAGATGCATATTTATGGTTGAGATTTTTTCATATATTCCTTCCTTACCTTTGTAGGGTACTGATATCGCTGTGACTGTCCAACTCATAGGATTTGAATAGACCTGTGGCTGAGTTGACTTTCAACTAGCGAGTCACAGGTTTGAACCCCGCCCTATCTATATCTAGGTTTGAGCAGCCGGGTAGTATAACTTCCCCTTATACAATAAGTGTGGCTCATTACCCACTGCATGGATGTCCACAAGACGGCTGAGTGCTTTGTATTGTATTTGTGACCACCCAACCTCCTGCTCCATGTGTAGGTGTTGTGTAGATTTTTTCTTAAAGGATTTATGTCAGTTTTCGTACTTTCTGTCTAGTGGAGTGGATCGAATGGCATCAGAAGATCAGGTGTGGATTAAGAAAACTTTCTTCCAGGTTACAAGTAACTTCATTTTTCATTTCTGTAACATCTTTTCACTGTAGCCAGCTGTTGTCTACATTTTCTAGAAGGTTGAAAGTAACTCTCAAACCTGATTTGATTTGATAGCTAGTCATAATTGTATGTGTGTGTTGAGATCTTTACCAATTTGTCAATCTATCTTCACTTTTCATTAGTGGTATTGATTCATCATGAGCAAATTCTAAGTACTTTTAAAATGTATATGAATTATTTTCACTAGATTCTTTACTTCATACTAGTAGTTAAGTTTTAATCGGTCATGATAACCTTGATGACTCTTATTGTATCTTTCATTGTAGATATTGTTCCAGTTGGTTACTGAAGCTCCATTTCATGTGATGCAGCCAACTGATAAAGAATTAGAATTCCTAATCAATTCACTATGTCAATACACACCGAACTGTTTTTTACACAGGTTATGTCGTTTACTTTTATCACGTTTCAGTTGGGATGCTTTTAAGGATCTTGTAAGTTTATACAACAGAAGTTGTAATAATCTTTTGCTCTCCTTTAATTATTACCTAGTTTCATCAGTGTGTATTTGATGATTCATTAATACTGTGAAGAAGTTTCCTCAAAATGACTTTGTATTTTCCAGTCTCCCATGGAAGTTGAATTTACAATGCAGTTCTTTCCGCGGACATTAAAGGTTGAAGTCTGGTGTCCAACACATTAGTCAAATCGGTGGATCCGGAAAGTCTATCTGAGGAAGTTAAAAAACAGTCGTTTGTAGGGGGCGTGTGTGTTGGAGAAGCGATTAGCCGATCAATATGTGATTGGAACACAACCATCTATCATTGTTCCACAACTGTGTAATTTAGAATCAGTCAAGAGCTTGATGATGAGTGGTGCACTAAGTAAATCATCTGCTTCAGTGTGAATGTACAATACTGCGTATGTTGTATTGTACTACTCTGTTCGTTAAATAATAAAACCACTCAACAAAGTTGCGTTTATTAATTACGCATCAAACTGACTGAATTTGGAGCTATTACTCATTGGTTTAGGGCTATGAGTTTGAGCTGTGCTCAACCTTATGAGGTTTGGCCAGCCATGTAGTATGACTGGCTGTCACACATTAGGTATGGTGTGCTGCTTAATGCACGAATGTGCACAAGTTAGTGGAGTCCATCTCTCTTCACTGATTGAACGGAATATTATGGGCTTGTCATAACGTTTATTGATTTTCAGTGACCACACTTTCATTGTAAGCAAGAACGATTCATAACAAGAAGGCACAAGAAGTGTACTTGAATATCTCTCTCCTCCTGTTTTATTCTAATGGTGTTTTATGGTACTACGTTACAATACAAGCTAACGTTAAGGGTTTTCTCAAGCAGTGTTTCAGCCATCAACAACTTCAACACTCCTAGTGAACACAAATGAAAAGAGAGACTCTACACTGTCTCATCTCGGTGAAGGAAGAGAAACTGTTACTGAATACGTAGATTTTATACTTGCTTTTTGGCTGATCCACGAAAAGTTAACATCAATGAATTGCAAGTAATTTTGGTGGTGTTTTGTCTTATGAGCTGTATAGTTTAATCGTAAAACATCTATTATTATTCTAGACAGCATCATCACAAAATTTAGAAGGAAGTGGGTTATGAGAGTTTTTATACAAGTCGTTTAAAAACGTGGCCTTATCTACGATTGGTTATTTCTGCAATAACCTTGTCGTTGTCTCCATATATATTTAGATTGACTTTTCTGCAAGACGTAGACTCTGACCTTGTTTCTTATTGGTTGTTTTATTGGGCCAATGCTAATATGCATATTGATTGCTGACTGGCTCGAGCGCCAAACTTCTATAAGTGATAAACTACAGTGATTTTTAAAGGCTTCGTTAATCTGGATACAATTTCCGAGACTGTCTTCATGTTGGTTTCCAGGGTGACGTTTCCGTTGATGGCGAATCAGACAAACATCCTTTGATAAAATTGCGTGGATGGCTGTTATTTTGAAGGATAGCCATCAAGTAGTAAGGGTGTTGTACTACAGTATATCTTTCCTCTTTTGAAGAATGTTTTTACTCAACTGATTATATGCATTGTGGTATTGTTGCTACTGTAGTTAAAGATTTGATCAGTATTAGCTAGTTTTCTGCATACCTGAGTTTCTAGCTTTGCTGAATCGATCCTGTTAATCAGAACATCTAAACACTCAAGTTTGTGAGTTTGATTTCATCAGTAATCGAACTTGATTACCTTGTAAGCGTTTTCCAGTCGATTTCTTTTCAATGATAATAAACGTATCAGATTTATATATTAAACCTAAAGTTTTGTTTTGATCAACGGTAAGACGACAGTTTCCAATCTTTTCATTACTGTTTCTGCAACCAGTACGAATATAAGCGATCCCAGTGTTATTCATTTTGTGTATAGTTTGCCGTCTAATTGGAAGTATTTTGTATGACATAAATCAATTTCTTTTATAAAGCCTATGTATTGTAGTTGTGCGTGTACTCTGAGAGATGTTTACCATTGTTGGCGAGGAAAAGAGTATCAGAAATAATGTTGAAAATTATTGAAAAATGAAATAATGAACGTATCTTAAGATAGAGCGCAGAAGATAGTAAACTCAAATGTTTGAAACGTAAAATACATTTTTTTCAGAGCAACTTTGGGGACCTCCCAACACTTTCAGAACTACCAGGTATTTGAATTTTGTACATAACAGTTAGAGTTAATTAGTAAGAGAAGAGGCAATTAAATCATTCTCAAAGAAGTATTCATCGTTGATCAGTTGAAGAATCATTGAAAACCTGAGTACATGTGACAGCTGTTTCATTCTAGCATGAAACTCTGGATCTTCAGGTTTCATGGCCAACATGTTAATCACTTGGCCACTGGATCGGGGTCCAGTGGTTCACAGTTTCCAACTTCTGTCAATCCGCGATATAGTGCGACTAATCCACTAACCTTCAACGTTCTGTGTGTCACTAAACCTGTTCCACATTGATTTAGACACACCAATGCAGAGAATTACATTCGTCGATTTAACCTTCAGTTTGAAGACCCTATCTTCCTGTTAGGCGAAAATACCTCTAGTAATTTATCGACAGACTACATAGACTACTAAATAATGTGGGAGTTTCTCAATTTCAAGTGGTCAGAATGTGTCCATATTTTTTGTTTTAACTGAATCAATCAACTATTACACACCTTAAAGTTGAGTTTGAGTTGAATAAGATAAGATAAGGTGACTTTATTCATTGGAATCTGAAATGTAATCAGCAATGTTCCTTCATCCTCAGTACTTCCCCTAGTCTGTCTATTATACACTGGTATATGTAAGTAAGTGGTAAAAAGATATTGACGTTTAGCTAACTAATCTACTTAAGAGCCAAGCGAGTTCTCTTTGTGACTCAAAGTGGTGTAGTTCATCTTTGAATATTCAGATGTTACACCACTTACCATTTGGTAATTGATCTTTTTGTATAGTCTATCTAGCCTTGTGGAAAATAAACCCACGATTTAAGCACTCCAGTGAAAGTGTGTGATTGTGGCGCTGAACATGAAAGTTTTTAACAGTAAGTTGTCTAGGTAATATTTGTTTCATCAAACACAACGAATTGGACTCAATGCCTCATTTTAAATATATATTAATACGCTTGATAATTAAATGTTTATATCGCTCTGTTCATGTTTTAATTCTGCATTATCTATTGTCTGAGCCTGATGTCTTAATGTATGAATGTTTATGAGTTTGTCTAAACTATGCATACCAGAGTATTATACTTCTACTGAGAATAAGCGTACACTAGTAGGTTATGATAGGTAGCTACAGAAAGGCAACCAATAGAGTCGTTTTCAGATCATGATTTATGCATGTACTGACATGATACCCTGATTGGACAAATTCGAAGTCATACAACCAATTGGATTGGTTTATTTATGGCTTCATTTTCTGATGGTATGATATATATATATATATATATATATATATATATATATATATATTTATCATGTATTCGTCTGATGAAGTTGTTCTTCTGCAGTTACAGGCCATCTTTCGTCGTCTGATTTTCGTGGCTCAGTGAAGCAGAAGGTACTGAGGGGCAGATAACTGTGTTGCTTCTTAGTTTTCTGGCCTCAGTCCAGACTTGATCGACTGACTGACTTCGTACAGCACAGCCATACCAGTCACCAGCGAGTCTAGTCCTTCAGGAGATCAGTTATAGTGTAGTGGGCGTTGCTAATCGGAATGGATACAATTAGTATATGTTGAGAGGGCGGCAGAAATCATAGACAATTACCAGCAATGGGTAAAGATCCTGCCTAGAGAAATGCAAGAGACAGCGCGAGCTTATTAGGAGCAAATAAAGAAAGAAGCAGAAAAGGAAATAAAGCACATTATGCAAATGATTGTCTTAGTGGGAGGTGTGCCATATTTGATGACTACTCCACAATATGTCAATAAACATTCCTTCCTTCGTCTTGTCGTTTTCTACAGTAGCATGAAAAACTTGCCAGTCAGGTTCCTGATTTCCATGTCAAATAATGAAATTTCGAAACTGTAGGTTATAGATATGTCTTGTTGATGATTGCCAACAAGAACGAAACTCAGGTCAAGCAGGATCTGCTAATCGAATCTTAACGTCTTACAACAAAACCAAACACGTTTACTACTATTATAACTAGTACTAATGCTGCTTTATTTTGTGTCATATAATGCTACTTACTTAGTTCCCTTCTTTTGTTTTTTAACACAGCAATCAGGTGAACCGTTTATCCCTCTTTCTCAACACTTAAACATGGCGTTAGGATTATGTGAAATCGTCGATAAGTATGCCGCTGATTTGTCTCATTTTAATTTGTCCAAGTTAATTAATCCAACACTGGTGAGTGAGTGAATGAGTAATTAATTAATTCTATCGTTAATTAGTTATTGATTTTATATTGATCTCGGTGACTAGCAGCGGAATCCAGGACGCACGTTTCATCCTATTTTGAGACTCATCAGCCGGATGTACCTGCACCTCAGTGAGTGATATTGTTCCCGCTGAGGCTCGAATCCAGTACCTTTCGGTTCAGACGCCAGAACGTTATCCATGAAGTCTCTGGGGCACGACAGTTACCTCGTGTACAATGGGTTGTTATGATGCTTGGATAATCAGCTTTATCAAACCATCCACATAGAAGCCCACCTGCTAACAGAGGTAGAGCAATTCGACTCTGTATAGCAACGGGGAATTACAAGTATTATAGCAACTAATTATTGATTTGTTTTAGTATAATTGTTTTTATATCATACCGTCGTTGATTGAACCGAACTGATCGGTCTCTATTGGCATATGGGCTCCTGTGAGGATGCCTCGATATTGCCTGCATTGTAATTATATTAATGATGGATCGTGGCTAGCAGTGGAATTCAGGATATGCATTTCGTCTTGTTTGGGACTCGTCAGCTGGGTGTACCTGCTTCCCAGTGAGTGATGTTGTTCCCACCGGGATTCGGACTCGGGGGCGATCGCTTCAAATGCCAGGGCGTTCGTTATCCACTACACCACCGGGCCACGATAGCCACTTCTTGCGCGACGGGTATAGTTTTAGTATAATAGTTTTTTTATATGATACCGTCGTTGATTGGACCGAATTGACCGGTCTCTATTGACACATTGAGTCCGAATCCCGGTGGGAACAACATCACTCACTGGGAAGCAGGTACGTCCAGCTGACGAGTCCCAAATAGGACAAAATGCGCATTCTGGATTCCACTGCTAGCCACGATCCATCATAAATATTTATTTGTTTGTTTGTTTGTGACTACTTGTCGTTTTAAAGTTTATAAGAGAAAGGGACTACGGTCTGCAACATAATCTCGTAGCTCAGTTGGTAAAGTGCTGGGCTGGGAACATGGTGGTTGCTGGTTCGAATCCTGCCGTGGCTTAGATTTTCATTTCATCTTCAATCACCAACCAAGTATCAAGAGGATTCTTGTCAAAATTCAAATCTGTAACTGTCGTGAGACATGCATTCATTCGACTTTCAGCATGTGGACTTTTCAATCAAATCTTTTATTCCAATGTACATTTGCGTCTTCACTCATCCTTTCCAAGGTTTACCTAACGATTTATATTCTAACGAAAACTTTCAAAACTTTTTTTGCCGCTGATATCTTCGCTTGATTAAACCACGTCACGTTATACGGCAGGAAAATTGTTTTTAGTGAGGAAGCTTATGAATAAAAGTCACTTAATGAAGAGCTTACTTCCATCATTATACTCACATCAGTTGTATTAAAGAGTTTTAATAACAATCTTCATAGACGTGCTTACCGAGGTCTCTCTTTCGTTGTTTGACTTTGAAGAGAATGATCTTGTCGCAAATGACTCCTTATTAGATCCAGAGTACGTAGACGACATAATCACGTTAGGTGAGAACGCTGGAGAGATGCAGTTTCCTAAGCACCTCAAGCTCAGGTGGTAATTTTAGAATGCTCACGGTGCGTTTCATAACATTCAAATTGCTGCTCCAGGACTGGTCTTCATTGGTGCCCTGTTTGACGATGAGGAGTGAAGTAGTCGAACGCGTTGACCACTTCACCTACTAAGGTAGTTGAAATAACCGTGATAGATCAGTGACGAATGAAATCTCTGCTTGGATACAACAGGCCTAATTGGCTTTTGCTAACCTACATTATCTGTGGCACTGGCGATTACCTACTAAGGGTTGATTTCACTGCGAAGCAGTTTTCTGTTATCTATGAAGCTAAGAAACCTAGTTATTAGAGTTAGAGGATATGAGGAGATTCTATGTGTTTGACCACTGTTGCCTTTGTAGTATTGGCTGTGTTTCACTGAGGGCCTATATTAGTAAGTTAGGGTTAGATGTAGCATTTTATATATTTAACCTGTTGTTTCCACAGACTTCCTGTGTAGTGCTACATTGAAACTAAATGTACCTTCTTGGTTTCCTCATTTTCAATATTCCCGTCTTGATGTACATCAGAAAACAAACAAATTTGGCCAGAACACTGAATCATCACTGTCTTCGTATTCTATCTTTCAGAAGCCCATGTTCAGAATGGTAGCCTACTGCTATTAATAATTCTTTTTCTTTGTCAAGCCTAGCGGTATTTTTTATGTTCAGATTGTCGTGGATTGTGTAACCTCAGCATGTGACCTTCCTGTCTCAGGTGTTCTCCCAAGTACTATGGACAAAACCCATACGAATGAGAAAATTTTACCAAAGGAAACCAGCCAGCAAAGTTATCTATTTCCGTCATGTCTGCTTATTCTACCACTGATTACTATTCTGATGAGAATATTTGTAGGTGTTACTGGCAATTAAATGGGTTACTTCAGCAAACTGAAGTCTACATTCTCTGTTACTCATACCATTCTTCAGTTAGCTATTGATATATTTGGCATAGAATAGGTTTTGCAATACTTACATAGCACATATTCGGAGTTTAATAACGTTCTAGTGGTTTGGTTTCAATATGAAGCTTTCCGATTAAACAGTCACTCAGCTCAGAGAAGTCAATACAACTAAGATCATCCACTTGAACTACATATATTCTTTACCATTTCAAAATCATACAAGTATAACACGCTTCGCGTTGTTCGAAGATGGGAGAACTTCTCCAAGAAACAAGCTTCCACAGGAGAAAAACTCTTCTTTCTCTATGAGTGCCTATGTCATCATGTTCTACTGAAGAGTGTTAGATATAGACTACTGATTGACTTCTCAATGAGATAAAAAACGGCTGAACAATGTGAAAGATAAATGGTACAATTGATGATCACAGATATACATTATTGGATCCGAAAATACCAACTTGTAATTGACAATCAAAAGAGAAACCTAGGTGCTTCACTTCGAAGTTATTGCTGAATATATTGTTTAGAATGAGAATGAAAGCTTCCCAATTAAACAACCACTCAACTCGGAGAAGTCAACACAACCAAGGTCATCCACCATTTCCAAATCATAAGAGATGATATAACCTGATATATACGTTTGAATGATTGAGCAGTAACTCTCAGATTCCACCCCCTGATGGTTGTTCAATTTCTCATAAAACAGAAAAAGTGATACTACAACAGACGTATTAGAAGGTTAAATTATGTACAAAGGCTGATATATATAATAGCCCTGGTTATTTTCACACCTTTCTAAAACTATATTCTCTTTTTATTTTGTCCCTTCAACCAATCTGTTGTTTATTAGTATGATCATATGTCTTTTTTCAAGACTAAGGTATTTTGATTGTTTATAAAGGATTCCGGGTATAATGAGCTCCTCTAAAGGATCTTAACATTAATAGTGGACAGCATAACAAGAGTTAATGTTCTTAGCTTTTCCACTGTGTTTTGTCGACTCATTTAAAGAAAAATCAGTATTCAATACAATCTAGATGGAAATGTAATGTATGTTTATTGATACTTTTGATTTCCTATTGCTAAACTGGGTTGAGTTGCTCCACCTGAGTTGACAGATGGGCTTCTCTGTGGATGCTTCAATATTGCCCAATTACTCATTATGGAGTAGTCTCCTTGGTGGCTAGAAGTGGAATGCAAGACGTGCGTTTCATCCTGGATGTACCCGCGCATCCCAGTCAGTAATATTATTCCCACTGAGGTTCGAACTCGGTACCCGTCACTTCAAACGCTAGACCACTTAGACACAATAGTCAATTTTTATGCAACGAGTATCACTTGTTGTTTATTGATAATTGTTTGTTCGAAGCGATAGGCACGCGATTCGAATGTCAGTGGAAACAACATCGTTGACTAAGGAGTTAAGGTCTGTCCACTTGACGGGTTCCAAATAGGACGAAACGTATGTCACCGATTCCACTGCTAGCTGTCAATTATATTACAGAGCGATGAATATTGTTATCAGTATCTATTGAGTATTGCATATATGAATGGTAAATACAGCTGTTACATTTCTAGGAGTAATAAACGACTCAATTACATTATACATTGGAAACAACCCATTTGAGTAGTAATGTTACATGATGAAGTCTTCTACAGATATCAATTAGTTATAGATAATTGGAATTTACAATCGTATACACGTGTTCTTATACTAAACTATACACTACATCTATTTTTTTTCGGGTGACATGGATCAGATAGTCATTGAATCACATTGATTGTTTGTTTTTAAACCTTCTTTGAACAGTTTCATTTTTCTGTTTCTTTGGTTATTTATTTCAGGTGTCAAATATCTATAAATCTGCAAAGTCTTCAGTTAACTTATTCGCTTTTTCACTAACTGATCAGTTTCTTCCATCTTTGTTTATTGGTCAACATCGATTAAGAATTAAATCCAGTGGTATAAATTTACCAACAAGTGGATTAGAAGTATCACGTCGTACACATAGTGTAGAAAATATCACTAGCCAATCATCATCACTATGCTCATCATCAAATTCTGATCCTAATTTATCAACAATAAAAGATACTATCAATTGGGCTGTGGAATTATTATTACGTCTTTTTCTTCCAGGGACTATATATGATAAACACTATTCAACTGCTTCAAAATCATGTCAAGATAATATTAATCAGATATGGTTTAAATTATACGCGTTAGATCAGAGAAAGAAACACAGTCGGACGTCGTCGTCCTCACCATCATTGTTGAATCCAGTCACTTCATTTGTTATCTTATCACTGAAAACTGTATATTCAGCGAGTATTAACAGTACTGATGATAAAGTTGATATTTCAAACCTATTAGGCACTTCTACAAGTAATAGTGAATGTCAATTCTGGGGACCTGAGTCGCAAACATTAAATACACTAATAAAATCAATATTTTCCTGTAAACATTTCAAATTAACCCTGCGTACTTTATTTATTCTATTTAAACAAGCACCATCATTAGTATACTTTAATAATAATAATAATAATAATAATAATAATGTTGGTGGCTCTACCCATGCAACAGAAACATCATCATCATCATTATATTTACAATTAAGTCATTGTCTTTGTGACTTTATTTATTGGTTACCATCATTCTCACCGGAAGAAGAACAACATTTACAACAGTTTTGGGATGTATTTCATCAATTTTCTCAAAATCCAATTGTACCATCGTCATCATCGTCAGCTGTGAATTTCACAGTATTTCTTCCATATTTTCTAATTGGAATGTTTATGGAGTTAATGATGAATTCATTGCATATATCACATCTGTTAAATATAATTAAAGTTGTCGTGGATATTATATTGGATTCAGAGGATTGTTTTAATAATCTATACACTATCTTGCTACTTGAATCATTATTGACATTTGAATATTGGTGTAGATTACAATTTCCTACATCATTTACTCCTCCTTTTTCTACTGCTGCTACTACTAGCAGCACCACTACTGCGGTTAGTCCTACTTCTCATCACTTCGAGGAATATAAACTGAAGCTAAGATTGACTAGTTCTTCAGTTTTTCAGAGTTTTCAGGTTAAGTTCAAAGTAAGTATCATTGTGTGTTAAATTTGTTTTGCTTAAAAATAAAATAATTCCCCTAAAAAAATCCGCAAACTTTCGTACTCTATTATGACTAACCTAAGAACTCAGTTGAAGCGACTGACAGAATAATTGGAAATACAAGGAACGGTACTAACACAATGAGACACTCAGACTGGATACGACTAGCAACTATTCTCCCTCAGACCTGATACTTCACTGAGTCGTGAAAACCCAAAAAAGGAGACCAGTCTGTGAGTGTAAGAAAGACAACTTTATTTGACAAAAAACATCAGAAAATAGAGCCACAAGGTTAGAAGTTGGGCACTTGTTCTGATTGGTCAACTGCAGGGCAAAATTATCCATTCGGATTTTTGTGCTGTTCACAGTAACACGAAACAAGGTTGAAATCCAAAACTTCTACCTTAGCGATTGGTGACTTAGAATGCCGATTTCAATTTAGGCCGCTTCCTATCATCAGTCAACAATTACCAAGTCATTTCGTTTGGTTTCCACTTCAGGAATACATCTTAGCTATTGACTAATTTGAAGAATGTGCGGGGCTGTGACCCATTGGTCTAGGCACTTAACTTTTAACGAAGTTTAAATTAGCTATCACACAGCATGTTTGGCTTATTGCCTACTGTCTGAAAGCACACATGGCTGCTTACTGAATTTCAATTTTCATTTGGTCTCAGAAATTATGGACCAGTCACACATTAAATATGTTTGTTTGATATAGGCCGTAGTGAAGCAATATTGTTTACTGGATGATATCTTAAGAACCGAACCGAAACCCACTCAGCAGCCTTGTAAATCTTCGTACAGTAGACAATGAGCCACATCTGATGGGTGAAGGCTAATGACACTACCTGCCTGCCTAAACCTCAGTAGGGGGAGCGGTGTTGGAACCTGTGACCCACTGATTGAAGGCCAACTCCCTAGACCAATGAGTGACAACTCCACAAGCACCATTTACCACTCCTAATTATTTTAAGGTAATCACACATTTTCTTATACCTGCTTTATTTAGCTCCGTCACTTGTCATTCCTTCGTTTCAACAGTAGTGAGGTTTTTCGTATATTCCAAATGGGTGTTGTGTTATTTCTATTGAAGTTTTTGGTTGTTAAATAAGTAAAGAAATATTTGGAAATTAATGCCTTTCTCTCTGTCTCTTTCTTAACTCAACTACACTGGCCTTTAGCATTGTCACTCTGTTCCACCCTATTCTAGGATTGTGTCTCACTGCCTACATAACCATAATGTATCAGTTCCCATTGTAACATCAAGAACAAGATATTCAGTGAAGAGACACTTTTCAACGAATTTATTTACAATCTGTATATTCGTATATATGTATATTTTAAAATTTATGACAACTGGTGAAGTATGAATGATAACAAAGTAGATTACGTAATGTGTGAGATGGTTCTCAGAAAGGGATGAATAAATTGATGAGAGTGGTAAATCAATTAACTATTATGTAATAGGATTGGACAAGTTGGTCAAGATGAAATCAATGTTTTCTAAAAAAGATTAAGAGGATTAAGTGAAGTTACCCTGGAAACTAATCAAAGTGTAGGCAATTATAATGACAAGATTAGTGATAAAGGGAGGATACGAAGGTTAAATTAATGAAGGAGGAGGAGCTACTAATGGGGTGGGAGGAAATGTCATGGCTATGATAAAGACAGTGTCTGTACATACTTCTAGCTAAAGCCTCTACTGTTCTAAGGAGTTGATAAGGTAGAAAACGTGGGAGGTTTAAGCGAATTTGGTAAACAATTTTAAAGTCATTGTCTGGGTTTTCTGAGTGATGGAAATCAATCAAATGTTCTAGAATAGGACTTCTAACAGACTTTCATTTTTACAAAACCAAGCTGAAATATGTTCTGATATACACACGTGTAGAAAGCATTTCCTGGCTACGGCCTATGTACCTTGCTCCACACAAGCAGGTGAACTGGTAGATTCACACTTATGTCACCACTTATTATATTGTTATTGTTATCATCATCATTTAGTGTTTAGTTTTCCTCACGGGATATAATTTTCTCAAATATCATACATATATACGAATGTACAGCTTGTAAATAAATTCGTTGAATATTTTGTTCTTGATGCAGTACGATAGCCGAGTTTTCCCCCTAATTACTTATCCTGTTCAGTTCTATTGTTTCTGAACTTAGCTAAGTTTCTATGCTTTACTAACCTAACTGACCTAGATCGACTATTCTTTATTAGACTTATTTATTAGATGTACAGCATACAGTCAGTTGTATTTGATGACGTTTCAGGCATAAATTTATTACTCATAATCATGTCATGATGTCTGATTTTTACAATGTTGTCACCTCAAATTCTTTGGTTTTAGTGGTGGTAAAATTGTCTTCATCTTCGGTATAAGTACTGCATTATTCCTACTACATGTGTTGGGTGATGACTCGATGAACAAAGATTTAGTAATCAATCTTCCTCTCCAACTAATTATATCGGACTTGAGTACAGTGCCTTTATCGCATCCTTTTGTGTGCAGTTGTGTGTTAATGCAACGAGCTTGTTCATCTTAGTGGGATCTGACAATCTGACTGACTCTGATCGGCTAATTTGGCCTATATACTTGATCTCGTAGTCATTGCATGGTATTTGGTAGATCAAATTAGTTTGTTTAATTTGATCTATCGGATTCTTATCTTTGGTGTAGAATTAAACTCACAATCACACAACAGGATGGGATAAATCACTACAATTAACAGCCATAAACATTTAGGTGGAGAGAGACAGATTGATTACTAAATCTTTTGTTCGTCGAATCAACAACCAATTTGTGTAGTATGAATGATGCAAAATGGGGATACGGAATATTTTACTACCATCAAAACCAAAGAATATGAGGTGACAGTGTAGGAAACAACAAGACGGAGACGAAAGAAGGAATGTTTATTATTAGCATCTTGTACAGTAGTCATTAAATATTGTACACTTTTCACTAAGACAGTCATTTGCACGATAGACTTCATTTCCTCTTCTGCTTTTATCTCGATTTGGTTGTAATACGCCCACATTGCCTCTTGCATTTCTCTGGGCAAAATATTTACCCATTGCTGGTAATTGCCTATGATTTCTGCCGCCCTCTCTCTAAATATACTACTGATATCTATTCTGATAATCAGCGCCCACTACAACAGGACTATAAAAATCAGATGTCGAAAGTAGTGTGGTTACATTAATATGATTATGAGCAGTGATAATTTATGCTCGAAATATCACTGTGTTGTATATATCAAATCAACAAATGTAATTTGAAATTACGTACTGCTTGTTAAAGTTGTACATTTGTGTTAATTGTTTGATCAATATAAGGTGCAAACATATATGTGACCATACTATGGCATGGTCGGAGTTCACACTGGTACTCCAGAAAGACCCGCAATCCTCAACCGATCCTCTCCAGCGATAGCTTATAAGAATATTATCTATCTGTCTAACGTTAGTCTGATGTCGGCGGATGCCACATGAGACAGTGTCCCTATTTATGCTCAAAGTTAGTGCTGGCCAGAAACAAGTGGTTGTCGAAACAAAATTACAAGAGACGATCACATATGTCCGTTTGTTGACATGCGACTCTGTATATATTTACTGGGTACATTTTCAATTGGCTCATCTTTCCTAACTGAGCGTTCGAGTCACCTGAAATTATGATTATATGTGAACGTTTTGCTTTCTGTAGCAAAACTGACAGCTTATCATTGAATTAATCTTTGCGTCATCCGAACTGCAGTCGGTGGGTGCGTAGGCCAAGTTTACGAATAGACATCGCCTACTCTCACGATCCTTCCCAGTCTTTACAGAAACATTCAGTCGAACAGGAAACAGATCGCTGTTGACTGGTATCCAGTTAAGAAGTGCACTCTATGCTCTACAGCTCAGTGCTATGCCTACATCAGCGAATGCATGGGAGCTAGCCACTGGGTCTTCGGGTACGTGTAAGGTGAATTTTGAAGATTCATCGTGTTCGCCAGTTGACGTCGATTTCATAACCACACTCAAATCCTGCATGTATCTCAGAGATACGGCATACATCTATGGCTTGAGATTCCAGAGTTTTGGCGAGTGATGCTTGGCTTCCAATATGACATAGAGTTCGGAGGTTAAAAGCTTCTACATGAGATCGATAAGGTGAGGAGGTCTTAGGAGACTAGAAATGAGGTTTCGGTAGCTTTGGTCGTTGACAATGGTTGCAGAGTGAGAGGTTTGAAAAGGCGTAAGAGGCTCAATATTGGGCTCAAGAGATAAAAACAAATGAGGAGACAGAGTTGAGGAGGATAGGTTGATTAGGTATTGTGTACTACTGGGAGTATATGAGCGGTTGGTACTTCGTTTCCGCACGCATCGTGGAAGGTTATTTCTTCTTAAGGTACCTGAAAGAGGAGAAGATTTTTATGACCACGGAGCCCATGTGAGGCTTAAGGCCTGTTGCACACACCCTTTTGCGTGATGTGGTTTTGAGACTTGGTTTTTCTAATGCCGGAAAGAAAAAACTCATACCGCCAGCACCGGAAGACCGTTGGGTCAGGAGGAGTGTACTGTTTTTGAGGTAGACCTTTTCTAATTCCCCTTTCCCGTAGGGAAGGCAGCATGAGCATGCCACTACTGGTCATCCAAAGGAAAGACTTTACTGCTGTCACACCCCATCCAGCTAGCAGCAGTATGACTTTGCCCTCGGACCTCCATCATAGAGTAGCAATTTACAGTACAACGATGACTACTTTTCGTCCTACCACTATCCAACAGACCTTTTTGGCGTGGTAGGACTTTGAGGGAAAAAGCGTTCCACCAACATAGCTTGTTGGGTCATTGTGATATGCAAACCCGACCACCACGCCAAGGTATCAGTTGTCAGTTGGGGATAGTATTTTGTTGCCATTCACTGACTAACGTGTTAATTAATCCAACCAATAGTCGTCGATCGCCATCCATGAATACCTCCGATATTAGCTCATCTGGACCTACTTCCTTTCTTGTTTCGGGTTACTTAAAGCCTCATCACTTCTGCTAGATTCATACGGTCCATATCAGTGTTCCATTCAATATCTGACTGGATACTGAGCACCGGAATAGTAACTGGAAGTCATTTGATTTATTCATCGGAGTGTCTCACCCATCCTTCCAGTCGGCTTCTCTATAGGACGAGACGAACGTCTTGGATTCCACTGCTAGCCACTATCATTAATATATAATTCAAGCACAGACAATATCGTGACGTCCTTGTAGGAGCCCATATACCAATAGAGACCAATCAACTATGGGGTAATGCAAACAACAACATAAATAATAAAAACTGGACTTTTTGTAAAACATTTTGCTTTCTTCAATTAACATTCTTCAACATTAACAGTCCGCTCTATAACTTTTATCAAATTTTCAGTTCCAGTTTATGTACACCTAAAGTTTATATTGGATACTCCTTAACTATCACCTGAAGTTTCATCTATCAAAAGTGTCGTAGACATTTGAAAAACAATTTAGATATTTTTTTCTATACCTGATCGTCGTTCATCTTTTCCTGTCAATATTAAGTGGATTGGAGAAAGCATATAAGGATACCGAATTTAAAACAACACGGTATCCAGTTGATGTAGTCAATGATTGTTAATCTGTATCAAACTTAAATTTCTTATAAATACTTTAAAATAGTTAAAAACACTGATTGGATCCCTCATATTGGATAAGTAAAAATACATGACCATTAAAAGTAGGAGACATGAAGTGTTTGGAGGGTTTTGATTAGAAGTGTCTTTGTAGTATTGTTCGCGTGTGGTGAAATCACTGTGTGAGCAATATGAAGGTTAGACGAAGGGTGCTAAGTAAGATAAGCAAGTTGATTGATGAGGTTGTGAACCTTAGTCGACTGGGATGCCTTCGATATGTACTGCGCATGCTGGGCTACCGCCTACCTCGATGTGCCATGCTAGAGGAAGTTAAATTAGATTGGAAGAGTCTTCAGATTGACCAGACGAAGACCTGACACTAGTCAATGAAGTCCTTAACTGTTGGCCTGAGCCATGTGGGTAGATGTCGACTACCTGGTTGGTGTCCTCGAGACGAAAGCAATTAGTGGTTGAGGACTGTTGATGACATGGCTGAAAATTAGTCACAACAGCACAGATATATTCACTCTTTGACATCTAAAGCTTGAATATTCGCACTGACCTTTTTCTTCAAATTGTTTACTCTCTCACACAACTTTGTCTGGTTTGATATCACTCTTTTCTTATCCTCCTCTTTTTTGTATACTACTATAAAGTGTGATAACTTGAGCCGATGCACTTATGTGCAAGGTTCTACGTTGATTTCGTCAGTCAAAAAATCATGAGTAACAATTGATCACTACTTGCTCTTTTACTTTTTATATTTATATTTACCCTCATTGGATTGATTCTGAGGTGCATCGGTTCAGCGGAAACGTCAGTTCATAGTTGAGAGTAGCCTCCATCACAAAGCTGTGCTCATTGAGTGGTATCCGTCGAGGGTGCCCACTATCTCCATTCTTATTCACTTTTATCATAGATATTCTTATGGAAGTCTCTTGTCACCGATTACACAGAGGTTGATCTAATCTCAAGAGAATTTTCGTTAGTCCTAGGATAGGCACGTGACATAGTCCTGTTTGGTGAAGACGCTAAAAAAATGCAGAATCTCCTGGACACCTTGAGTGACAATTTGCGAATATTTCGGATGCGTTTCTCACCACCCAAATGCAAACAATTACTCCACGATTGGTCTTCAACATTGCCCCACCGTGGCTAACAATAGAGAGTGTAGTGGTTGAGTGTGCTGGGACCAGCCGTGCCCTGGTGGGTCAGTGGTCGACGATAACTCTGCACTAATACCATAGGTTTGGTTGCCTTTTGCCAACCTACACCACCTGTGATATCCGATTGTGTATTGAGGTTCGCGTGTGCTGCACAGCATTCTGATCTGTTCTACTGTATGGCTGTGAATGATGGCTATTGAAGGTGTAAGACGTGAGAAGGTTTCAGGTGATTGACCAGGGATGTCTTCTTAGCATGTGGTATGGTGTTTCGTGGTGTCACGACGTGTGTAGTGGAGAATTCAGGTGTAGAGTTTTATGGAGGGAGGGAGGAGAGGTAAGACAGTTGGTACTGTTGTGAACATTCATCGAGTGATATGGGTCGAACATGTGTTACGTATTCCTGAACACCGTCTGAATTGTAGCACAATGTTGTCCGAAGTAGATTCAGGCTGGGAAAAGGCTCATGATGGCCAGACTAATACATGACATCAATGTATGAAGTCTCTGACTGTTTATTTGAGCCATGTGGGACGATGCAGGCTAGCCGGTTGGGGTTTGTGGGACAAGAGGACCCAGTGGTTGGAGACTGACTCTAGGTGATTACATGTGTGAGAACCGATGTCAGTGGTGCAGATGTATACATACATTATCGTCATCTTAGCGACTCTATACTGAATCTCATTATTTTCTCATTCTTCATTTCTCTCTTTTTATACTTTATATTTCTTCTGACTGACTTTTTTTTCCTTCTTCATCTTGCAGTTGTTCACTGTTTTTTTAGTTGATGTGGTGATATGAGTTGTGGCAACTTGGACCGTTATGCAGTAATGCCTGTTCCTATGTTGACTTATATGGAGTTCCCATCACAAATCGACGTTAGTTAGTTGACTGTTGAAAACCTGAGAGCACTGCGTAATCGTTTCATTCTGGTTTTGAACTCTTCAGCAGTTCAAAATCATGATTCCGGGAGGCATGTACTCTAGAACTGTCAAGTCGAGTTGAATTTCCATAGTTCATTGTTCTTACTTTCTTACTTCCATTCGTGATACTATGCAATCACTATCGAATATAATCGTTCAATGTCCATTCTCACGCCCAACTTGATTGGTCCTCACAGGTTACGACGATCTATCATTAGAACTTTGAGTAATCCTTCCCAAAGAAATTTGGTATTGATTACTGGGTAGTCGGTTTTCTAATTAATATTAATCCGATGATGTAGAGCTTATGTAATACTTGAGAACACTAATCACCTATTGATTAATGTCACACAAAACGATGTCATCTTCACACCTAGAGTCAAAAAATCCTTCTCCTGTAAGTACACCTATAGAGAAACCATCACACATCTTATTTTCAACAGTTTTGAATGTCTTTGATGCCAAATTTAGTGAGGAAGGGGCTATCATTAGAACTTTGAGTAATCCCTCTCGAAGAAAGATGGTAGTGATTACTGAATAGTTAATCAATTCGTCCTCTAACTAATATCAATCCGTGGTGAAAACTACTTTTCAAATATATATATATATATATATATATATATATATATATATATGTAGAGAGAGAGAGAGAGAGAGGTAGTATTCATCACGGACCGACATCAGTTAGGGAACCATTGAAATTTGGAAGGACTGGATATCTGTTCCGTCCTAGTATGTGACTTCTCGGCAGGACGTACCCATGACCCGCCTAGGGATCGAACTCAGGTTTCACGGCGAACACGTTAACCGTTCAGCCAGTCTGTGTACTATCAAGGAGTCCCATACTAGGACGAAATAGCTGTTCAGTGCTTCCAGATTTTCAATCGTTCCCCAACTGATGTCAGTCCGAGATGAATACTGTCTCTAAACTAAAACGTCCCTATTCATCTCAAAAATACATTACTGTATAGTGCTTATTAGTGACTTTCTTCCAGATGGATATCACGAAGCTCTAATGAGAAGCCGTGACCTGTGGAGTCAACCAGTCGGAAGTGAAGCGTATGCCAACTAAAGACTTTGGGTGATAGTCGCGTTATATAGTGAGTTGAAACAAGTCGTAAATTGTGAACCACTGGAAACCGACGTTCAGAAATCTGAAGATTCTGAATTCTATCCCTAGCCGGGTCATGGGTGCGTACTTTCGAGGAGTCCCATACTAGGATGAAATAGCTGTTCAGTGCCCCAGATTTTCAATGGTTCCCCAACTGATGTCAGTCCGAGATGAATACTATCTCTAATTAAAACATCCCTTTTCATGTCACAATGTATATATATATTTGTTTTTCTCCACTATACAGGAAATTGAAGAATTCTTCATGAAGAATAAATCTTATGATTCTTTACAACATATTGTTACTACATCATTAGAAACAGCTTATACATGGGCATGGTATCAAACAGCATTTGTTATCAATACATTGAAATTGAATTTGATCAAAACACCTTTTTTATCTAATCAGATGAATAGATCAATTAACTCTGAAGAATATGGAAAATGGAATAATTCAGTAGAAAATTCCATACTTCATGAATGTATCTTCAATCAATTGAATACTAAAATTATACATATTTATTTAAAAAATAAAGGAATAAGTCAATTAAATCCACCTTATTGGTTACTTATATGGTTACAGTCTGCAGAATATATTCAAGAAACATCAAATGATGATATAATGAATAATATGAATGATAAATTAAATTATCAACAGTTAAGATATTGGAAATGTATAACTCCACTTATCTATTTATATCAAGATGAAATAATTTCCGCTGGAAATCAATTACTAGTCAATTGTTCTACTAATAGTCTTCAATCATCACCTTATAAAGACTCTAATTTATTGTTACCATCTGTTGTTAAACATATTCTACAGAAAATTTTAGTAAGTTGGAATTATTATATACTGTGTTGATTTTATGAACTTGTATAGGTGGCATATTCATCCTTTCTGGTATTAATCATGTCTTAGATTTATTCGTTACTAGATAACTAATAACTTTTCATCATTTGTAGCCGAGGATGAGGATAATAGTGATCTGGTGTTCTCTCAGCATTGATATTTTGTTATGGATGTTTCATCAACCAGTTTGATGATATCCTCAACACTAACTTCATGTACAGCTAAGAGAACTATCATTATTTTGAGCTTAGGTTTTCCACCATTCTCTTTTATTTATGTAACCATGTTTAGATACTTGAAGAATAACGTTCAGATTCCACTGCTGGTGGCCATTCAGTTACTCGGGAAATACAAGAGATACTAAGGTGACAGATGGTGTGTTGTAAAGTCAAACTATGTAGAAAATACAATAGCTGATATATATATATATATATATATATATATATATATATATATATATATATATATATATATAGGGCTCCTTTCAAAGATATGGACAATCTTATTGCAGGTTCAGATTTGCCTATGAATTACGTCTATCAGAACAACTTTTAATATACAGTCGTTGTGATTCGTAGCATTATTCAGAGTTCCAGTGCTTTTGTAATATATCGTATAGGAAAAGTATAATTGTTTTTATATCATACTGTCGTTGATTGGACCGAATTGATCGGTTTCTATTGGCATATGTGCTCCGGTGGTCTTTGGTTCGAATCCCATCTCAAGTAGTCAAAATGAAAATAGATATTTGCACCTTTTCAAAAGGATCTCTGAATTTTAAAAATGGTATCCGTTTTTAAACCTAAACTTTATAATATCTCATTGAAATCATATGACTCTTTTATTTAGAAATCTGTTAGTTGTGAATTTATTCTTCAAACATTATTAAACACTTGAGGAGGTTTATATCCATATATCCACAGCTTTAAAGGCATTCCACTTACAACAGTGAAGTGTTTACTTGTTTCCGTAGTGCGATTAGTTCGTATACAGCGTGTTGTTATGATCTAGGACAATGACTGGATTGAATGAATTTTGATTTCAACTGAAGAATAAAAATTATATATACAGTACAATGTTTAGTAATACCACTAATAATAATAGTAATACTGTCTTTAAAGCAAACAGGTTAAGTGGTATCCTATAACTTGGATCAGTGTACAGAATGTGCACGGGACCGGGTAGAAACGAGATTTTAATTCTATAAAATAATTTTGAAAATGTATTCTATGCAAAACTGTTTTGTCTGTTTTCATAACGTCGTAAGTTTATGGTAATCACTTTTTTGAGGTGTATGTCGGTTACTGATAATGTGTACCTGGTCAACTGGCAATTAGTTGTTACTATCCAACCTTCTATTTAGTTCATTTTTCAAAACGGTTGAAAGAATATTCACACTAGTTCCGCTTTAAATCCAACTATTTATTTTGCACCATGTATTAGTCATATTTTGTGCATTCACTAAATTCTATTTTCTCAATGATTTATGGCACTTTCTAAATTCACACTTATTGATCACTGAAGAGCAAACCTGTTTGGCATTGTCTACTTCTGGGTGCTGACCGAACCCTATAGATCGTGTGCCTCGTCACATAATATTGGCCGAAGTAGATTCAGGCTGGGAAAAGGCCCAGGATGGCCAGACTAATACATGACATCAATGTATGAAGTCTCTGACTGTTTATTTGAGCCATGTGGGACGATGCAGGCTAGCCGGTTGGGGTTTGTGGGACAAGAGGACCCAGTGGTTGGAGACTGACTCTAGGTGATTACATGTGTGAGAACCGATGTCAGTGGTGCAGATGTATACATACATTATCGTCATCTTAGCGACTCTATACTGAATCTCATTATTTTCTCATTCTTCATTTCTCTCTTTTTATACTTTATATTTCTTCTGACTGACTTTTTTTCCTTCTTCATCTTGCAGTTGTTCACTGTTTTTTTAGTTGATGTGGTGATATGAGTTGTGGCAACTTGGACCGTTATGCAGTAATGCCTGTTCCTATTTTGACTTGAATGGATGGATTTGAGATGTAATCACCAAACTTTAAGACTCAACATCTCAGTACATTTTGTTTGGTGTGATTTGATTGAAGGTATTTGATAGCAAGCGCCGGAGTTTAGTGGGTGTTGTGGGTTTAAACTTCTTAGAAGACATCAGTTCCTTCGAGGTTGCGGATATATTCAAGTTATAAGGGTTACTGTTGTTTATCTTCGTGAACACAACCGGTTATTTATATTTACGGAAATGTTATAAGCTCAGGTTCTCTTTTTTTGGAGACAGCAAAATACTGTCTAGTTGCGGACCTACCTTATATTCTGGGTTAGTTGGAAATTGATTGTTAACCTTTACAACAGTCCATTTGGCTACAGTTGTGTTAGACGTTTATCACTTGCCTTGTGGCTAGTTATTTATAGAATTGACCAATATTGGAATAGTATTGGTATCCATTACAAAACGTTATACTGTAGTACATTAACTAACCTGTGTGTGTATGGTTACGTTGGTGCTTTTCTTCATCCTTCTTTCCTGCAAATACTTTTATGCCATCAAAGTTTCATTGCCTTAAGCGGTTGACTTTGTACTAATAGGTCAATAGTTCAATTCGTGGTCCCTGGCGGATTCACGGATACTCACTACTGAGTAGTCCCATACCAGGGGGAAACAGCTATCCGGTGCCTCCAGGTTCCCTATGTTTCTCCATTTGATGTCAAACCGTGAGGGATACCAACTTGAAATCAATAAATAACTACCCATAAACCTCCACCGTTCATTTTTGACTTGCTTTGAGATGAGATTTTCCGAAGTTCTAGTGAGAAGTCATAACTGATGGGGTAATTATTTATCAAGTCAGCTGCTTTTCATTCGAAAACAGGCTATAAGGAGAATTCACCAGTATTAATGAAGAATTATTTTTCTTCGTTATCAGTTTTCACCCGGTTAACTAGTTCACTAGTTACTAACCTGTCCTAAGCCCCGACAAAGAGGAAAGGTTGAGCGTAGGGCTAGCAACCCTACCGCGTAAAACCAATCCAACCGCTAATAAAACTTCAAAGCACAGATAAAATATAAAAATAAAAGCAAACATATTCCTCGCTGGAATCGGAGAGGCGAAATGACGCCGGTTGGTGAAAGCCTGCCTTCGGGAAGCCAATTGGCCGGGCCGATGTGTCTTCTCTCCCTCGATGAAAGCGCAAGTAAACATGGGGACGTGGAATGTCCGCACTATGTTTGAACCTAACAAGACTGCCCAGATTGCAAAGGATATGAGAAGGTATAGCACTGAAGTGCTAGGAATTTGCGAAAGCAGATGGAATGGGAGTGGACTCTCTAAACTGTTAATTGGAGAATCAATAATCTACTCCGATATTCTCACCCAAACGACAACCATGAGCACACTGACTTTTTGAGTGGCTTTCATGATGTTCCCAACAGCATCGATGGCTCTCATACAGTGGGAACCAACCTCCTCCTGCAGGATCATAACAGCAAGATTCAACTCAAAAGAAAAGAAAGTCACAATCATTCAATGCTACGCTACGCACCTACAAATAATACAGAGCAAGAGAAAAAGGAGGAATTCTACAGACAACTGCAATCAACAATGGACAAGACGTCAGTTGGCGATATCAAAATTCTAATGGGCGACATGAATGCTAAACTGGAAGGGGACAACACGGGAAGAGAACTAACCATGGGTCGAGAAGCGCTCGGTGAGGTGATGAACAAGAATGGAGAATTGTTTGCAGAATTCTGTGCATTCAACGATTTAGTGATTGTAGGTAGTATGTTCAAGCACAAGGATATCCACAAAGCAACATGGATTCGACTTTAGCAGATGGACACACTAAAAATCAGATCAACTTAATGTAAGATTAGGACTTGTGCCCTGTTATAGTGTATAGTTCCCTGTTAGTCTTTTTCGTTGATAATTTTACCCAGTGAAACAATATTACTTATGTGATGACGTTTTGGGCATAATTTATTGTTCATAGTCCACTGCCGGTATATCCGGACTGTTGCCATGTAAGCTTAATGTGATGTGACGGACATTAGTGGTCATTATTTCGTTTAAATAGTGTATGAAATGAGTAATTTTCAGCATAATCTCTTCATTTATTGTAATATTTTTAATCTAGAGTTCAACATTCAGCTTACATGGCATAATGCCGGATACTGGCAGTGTTCACAGTGATATTAAGGGTTTGGTTAAGAAAACTATTGTGTTCGAAAAGGCATCGAGTGAATAATACTGTTTCATTGTGTGATTGACTAGTCATTGATTTGATCACAACTCTACCTACTGTTGTTTTGATAACTAGGCAATATCACTCACACTCTGTACACAATAGATAATATCTCTTACACAAGTGTACAAACCTACACTTCGTTGCTGAACCGCATGAAGTATGCTGTGTATTTGTAAAGGCAAAAGTACTATGGAATGATATAAGGAAAATCAACCTGTTTTTATCTATGATTGATCAGTTGGACTTGCTTTTCTCCCGTTCCCTTAGTAACTTAACTAATCTGTAGGTGTTTTTTTCTCTTTTTGTGGATTGTTCTTATCTTTTCTTTGAATTATAGTTTGAAAGTGGCCTTAGTCAGCTGATTCCTAAGACTTCAAGTGATACTAGTAATAATGAAAATGATAATGATAATAATAATAATAATAATAATAATAATAATAATAATAACAGTACCAGTCAACAGATACATGAATTTACCTGTCATAATCAAATGTCTTCATTAAGTGATTCAAATATTGCATGGATATTCAGCCAGTTTAGTCTTGTTCATGGTGTTTATCTGATACATTTATGTCCAATTGAACATCCAGTGTGTTCATTACTTATTCATACTATACTCTGTCAAGTATTCAATCTTCAGTCAGCGGCTTGTTTTAATGATAATCAACAGAGTGGTGAATATAAAAGTAAAAAGTGAGTAAACAACTTTTAAATTTCATGTACTTATTTATTTTGTTTTTTTATTAAAAAAAAACAAACTTGAAATCAAATAATGATATTCATGATAGATAGGGGTTAGCAGTGAAATTCAAACCGCACGTTTCATCCCATTTAGGACCCGTCAGCTGGATGTGCTTATCTCCCAGTGAGTGATGTTCTTCCCACAACCAACATCATATCAAATAATTATAAAAAGCAACAATCTGAACGAAGAATATTCTTTTCAATAGATTCTCATCAGGTTCTACAATTATAAAATGCATTTGTACAGCGTAAAAACAAGCCATGTTATGGGCAGTTACATTTTCAAAATGGAATGAGATTTAGAAATTGTAAGGAAACCGATTTATTTTTTAATTAGTCAACATTGGGGTGATACGTATATCGAAGAATTATATGGTGGTAAAACATAAAGATAACAAATAAGATATCGGGAGTGGCCTTTAGTTTGCTAGAGGCTAAGGGAGAAGTAACGTGTAGATATATTCTTTCTGAATTCAGAGTTTAAACTTGATCAATCTTATTGTGACAGCCTGCGCTATGTCGACCAAGCGTTAGTGAGCTACATGTGATATCGTTTTTGGAATACAATAAATGACATTCAAAGCTTTATTAGCATCTATGTGATGCCCTGTGTCGACTAGATGCACTAGGACAGAACTTTTCACCATTTTCACTTCGTCTTTTCCAAACCAAGCTGGTAAATGCTCTCGTATCTGGAGACGCACCTGCCTAGTCGTACGCCCTGTGTAATTATTGATACCATAGAAGATCCCGACCGGTAGCTGCTACCTTGACGTAGTGGTTGGGCTTGCATATCACAATGACCCAACGAGCTATGCTGGTGGGACACTTGTTCCCTCAGGGTCCTACTATGCCATAAAAGTCTGTTGCATAATGGTAAGACGAAAAGCAGTTACCGTTGTGGTGTAAATTATTACACTATGATGGGGGTCTGAGGGTGAAGTCGTACTGCTGTTAGCTGGATGGTATGTGACAGCAGTGAAGTCTTTCCCTTGGATGACCAGCATTGCCACGCTGATGCTGCCTTCTCAGTGGAAGGGGAGTTAGAAAAGGTCGGCCCCAAAAATAACTCCACAATACCCCACAGTCTGCCGGGCCGGTGGTGTTGGTTCACTTGTCGTTTCTTTTCGATTATCCGGCCCCAAAACAACCATACACAAAAAGCTGCATGTGACAGGCCTCAAGCAGATGTCCGATGGGCTCCGCAGTCACACAAATCTCTTCCGGTTACCTTAAGAAGAAATAGCCTTCCATGGTATGGGCAGCCAGAAAGTATCAACCGCCCTCAAAAGCCTGTCAACATTCAAGTTTCCTCCGACTGCTATCCACCTCCCCCATCATTACCTTCTAATCTTCCTTCACGTCTCTCAACTAACGATGCTGCATCATCTTCAATTTCTTCTAGCTCTGCAGCCTTCAACAACGATTTGAGTCCACAGAACAGCATCACTGGTCTCCTTAAATCACGCTGCAAATTATATACCAAACCCTTCAGTGTCCGCACCCTCCGTCAAATTGGTCAACAGGCTTCGTTAGCAAAGACTCTAGCAACTAGGGCCATGGATGTGTGCTGTGTTTGTGAGACACGCATACAGGGCCCAAGTGTGGTTATTCATTTAACCTCTCCTGACCAATCTGGTGAATCCGCGAAATTCACGCTTTGAGTTTCTGAAGATTCAATAGCTAGCTCTCGTGGTCTTGCAGGTGTATGCTTAGCATTAAGCACTAGGGCAGAAAACTCACTACTAGACTGGATCCCAGTTGATAGTCGCCTCTGCACTGTCCGGTTGAACCGCATAGTGAGAACTAAAAGGAATATTGAGACTCGCCGTTGTCTCTTTGTAAACTGTGCCTACGCACCCACTGACTGTAGTTCGGATGAAGTGAAGGACGAGTTCTACCGTAAACTGTCTAACCTCCTCTCGAAAGCCAAACGTTCGGACGTGGTGGTTGTTGCAGGTGACTTCAATGTACAGGTGGGTAGACTGAGTGAGGCAGAAAGACACTTAAGTGGTACTTTCGGAGTCCTGGCTGAACGTACAGATAACGGTGATCGCCTACTACAACTATGCTCAGATAATCGCCTATTTTTAGCTAGCACATCAATCATTTCGAGTCTCACACATGATCATATGGTTTTTCTAGAACTTTTGACATGCCATGATTGGCTATGAAGACTTTCCAGGGATATCCAGGCTTACGTCATACTGAAGTTAGTGCTGATGGCGTCGTCTAGCAAGGCGATGAAAGCTTCACGATTAAACAACCCAGCTCAGAGAACACAATACAACCAAGATATCCAGGCTTCTTTAAGGGATCTAGAAGGTATTGTCGCATTCCATAACATCACTCAATGTAGAATATGATGCAGTTACTTGTAAACATCAAGTATTACAGGCATCAATAGTGTAACTGATAAATTTCCTGTTTAATAAACTACCTATGTATTCTAAATAACTACTTTACTTATTTCAATGGTAAATATGAATTCACCTGGATCGAAAAATAGTACCATTTTTAAAGTGCATCTCTGTAAGGATAAGGTTGAGGGATTACTCTCAACGGATTGAGAAACTTTCAAATCATTTTCTTATGTTCTTCTTGCGTTAGTTGACAGGTCAAACTGTCATAAGAATACATGCAAAATACATAATTCTATAAGTTCTACTAAGTTTCTAAATCATCTAAGAATTGTCGTGTGGATTAGATGATTTAACTCCTATGACATTTCATTCTATGGTCAATTGTAAAATTTTAGATCTTGTTCAGTCTTCCAATACCAAGGTACTAATCGTAAACTACTAACTTTAGGTTTCCATTCCATGTCTAACAAACACATACCGGTAGAGCTATGATTCATTAGTTTAGAGAGTTGACTTTCGACCAGTAGCTCGCGGATTCCAACCCCGCTCCACCTACCGAAATTCGGACATTCAGGTGACATCATTAGCTGTTACACAATAGGTGTGTGTCTCATTGCCTACTGTACGAACGTGCACAAGTTTGCTAAATGGATTGCGATTCGATTCGATATGATACACATACCATTATTTACTACCTGATTAGTAGTCAGCTTTCTTAAGGTAAAGCCTAGTTCTCAGTTTCTGGTTAGTACTCAGGGTACTATCCTCTTCAGGACCTAATTGGTGTCACTTTAAGGACATTATGATTTCATTATCTTATGATTTATGCAAATACAATTTTACTCAAATATACCATCTTATTGGTTCCTTTTTTAACAACTACGATCTGCAAGTAATGACTGACATTTTAGTTCCTTCCTAAATCAATGCTTCCCATAGCGATTTTGTTTTCAACGAAATGCGTGCTCTGTACAAAATGTATTATTTATTCTTGATTCTGATGTTTAAAACTTAAAACATACAAAAAAGCTTATTTCAATTTCACGTTTTGCAATATTAATCATGCAAAATCAAATACTTTATTCGATCATATGACGGAAATAGATTAAACAGCTAGTGTGATCATGGTCATTTGATATTTGCATTTGTGTTTATGCCTTTTCGACAAACAAACTAGTCACACGTATGTATGTACACACTTCATTTATATACATATGAGCGATAGAGAGAAAGAGACAATCATATCTGCAAGAAGAGGTGTACTACATATTTCAGGCCGAAATTCATTCACGTGGTCCTTTTGAAAGCTAACCGAAAATAGTGTTCCGATAACCATCTATCTCTCACTACTACAAATATTAGAAAGAGAAGGACACTGTTTGACGTGTTGTCTAACCACTTCAACTGGACGGTAAACAAGCGGAGATGTGATTCATTCGTTTCTGAAGTTGACTATCAACTAGGTCACGGGTTCGAGCACCACCCCACCTATCGAGATTTCGATAACTAGGTAGTATCATTAATCCTCACACAACAAGTATGGCTCATTGAAAACTGGACGAATGTGCACAAGATTGTTGAGTGCATTTCGATTTCGATTCAAATATCTAGATATATATCTGTTCAAGGAGCCCATATGTCAATCATGAACAATCAATTAGGTTCAGGATAATAGTCAACGGGGAATTACAAGCACTAGTAAGTAGCAAAAGTCAATGATTACTTTACAGTATATATTGATTAAATTGATTTGCATGGTTGTACTCTACTCTACTCTACGCTTACATTAACACCAATTGGCTATTAAACATTATGACATTTCATCACTCATTTCAATGCACATGGATAACAACTATGAGGATGAATTCGATTTTGATAATGTATCGATGTTAGACAGAGGAAATATAAAGAACATCAGAGAATTCCTGGGAGCTTGGCATTTACGTCAGTCAACACATAGACCCAATCTATCAACCAATGAGAAAAATGACAAGTGACAGGAAGGACAGAGGTTAAGTAGAGGAACAGTCAACAAGAGACTCGATGCAGTCAATGACACAACTATCAAAGGAGACAACCAATCACAAACCACTCTGTCAGGGCAACCTACTCAATCACTCACGGAGAGATATCGACAGGTCACTTCATACTGATGATGTCGTCTGGAAAGACAATGAAAGTGTCACGCATAAACCACCCATCTCAGAGAACATAATACAACCAAGATAATTGAGCTAAACAACCTGTTACATGTAGACAGGAGACTAGGCTGTAGGGGACGATGAATACTGAGATGCGCTGCTATTATTCCATGCATTACTTATAATCTGCACTGAAGTTGGATCATTTCAGTTATCGGTTTGTTTAATATCGTATAGTGCTTTTATGAATTATGCACTTATCAAAACTTCAATCTTATTGACTGTTTGGTAGCTTTTGTTGTCATCTTTTAGCGATCTATTTATTACCTGATAAATAATTTGTAGCCATTGCTATCTCAGTTTAATTTAGGGGGTATGTGGTGATTTATTGATTTTTCACGTTGGTATTCATCATGGACAGACATCAATTGGAGGGATATTGGAAACCTGGGGGGACTGAACAACTGTTTCGTCCTAGTATAAGACTTTTTACCAGTGCGCACCCATGACCCCACCTCGCCAGGGATCGAGTCCAGCACCTTCAGGTTTCGTGGCCAACATGTTAGCATTGAGCCACTTGGTCGGAATCCAATGTTCCTAGTTTCTGAGACACATGCAGAACCCGAGTGTGGTTATTAAATTGATGTCACCAGGCAAACACAATGAATCTTCAAAACTCGCCCTAACAGCATCCGGAGTCTTAATGGCTAGCTCTCGTGGACTCGCTAGTGTAGGCATAGTATTGAGTTATAGAGCAGAAAGTGGTGGCAGTGTTTGACTGTGAATGGGATTACTGAAAAAGCTTTCTACTCGAACTCATGCAGCTGTGTCAGTGTTCATGGAGGGTTTTCTTCAGAATTGGCTACAACTACTAGGGGGAGACACTGGCTCAATGCAGGATCTTCTGAACGCTTTTCGCTGACATCTATCAAACGTAAGATGAGTCTTCAGGGCTGATCTGCAACCACTCCCCTTTTAATGATCAGGAGTGAAGTGGTGGAATGTGTTGACCACTTCACTTACTTGGGAAGTTGCATCAGCATGAACGGCTTGGTTGCTGATAAAATTTCTGGTGGGGGAATACAGAAGGCCCATTCGCCAACTTGTGTTACCTGTAACGCTGACTGACAAGATATCCAACTGCCTTCCAAAGGACAAGTATGCTGCGCTATAGTTTATTTTGTCTTGTCGTGCGGCTATGAGACATGGCTATTAAAAGTAGAATTTATGAAACGATTACAAGTTTTTGATCACAGGTGTGTTTGCAGCATTGCTCGCCTGTGGTGGAATCACTGTGTGAGCAACATTGACGTCGGGCGAAGAGTACTAGGCGAAATGGGCAAGTTGATTGATGAGGTTGTGAACCTTGGTTGACTGATATGGCTTCGACATGTACTGCGCATACTGAGTGCAGCACCACCTACCTGGAAGTGCTATGCTAGGGGGAACAGGATTAGGTTCGCATCGGGTTCAGTGTGGCCAGACTAAGACGTGGCACCAATTGATGAAGTTTCTTCCCGTTGGTCTAAGCCACATGGGCAGATGTAGACTACTTGGTTAGTGTCCTCAAGACGAAAGGAATTAGTGGTTGAGAATTTTTGATGAGATAGTTGAAAATCGGCCACGATGGTCCAGATGTATTCACTCCTTTGACATCTTCTAAAGCCTGCATATTTGCGCTATCCGTTAGCTTCAGATTGTTAATTTTTTCACTCCATCAGTCTTTTTCTATCCACCTTTTCTTTCTGTATTACTGTAAAGTGTGACAATTTGAGACGAAGCAACTATGCGAGGTTCTACATTGATTTTGTCAGTCGGTGTCAGTGTACACAACACTTCGAGGAACAGTTTGGTTAGTCTTTGGTTGTCCCTTTTTTGTCCACTACCTAGTCACTGTCCCAGCCAAACATTAAGATGAGACCTTCGATTCTCGCAGAAGTTGTGTTAGTAAATAACATGGGACTTGAAACGGCTACTAGCACTAGAGTTATCTAAGATTATTAGTTAGAATGGCCGAAGTAATATAATCATGTATGATCATCTCTAACTAGTCTCTGTTGTAGTTTGCTTTAGTTTCAAGAGAAGAAAAAATCCTGTCATGGCAACCACAGAGCATTCTGCCCGATAGACATCAATTCCGAGATTTTGGATTCTATGGTTATTCGACACCTGACGACAGCTCGCAATCATCTAACTTGAGGAAATCAGACAGGTTTCAAATATTGTGTTTATTGACTAGATCCTCACTGTCTCTTCTCGAACATAAGTATACTTACTAATGCCTGATGTCAGTTGTATTTCGTGACTTGGAGGTAGGATTCCCCTTCGCCGATTTAGACACTTTTTCTGAAAGAAACGTCAATGAATTTCTCGATTGTATTGCAGGCCATATACTCAAAGTCTTATACTCGTATTAGAGCCTGTGATGAGTTATCAGGGAGATCTAGTAATATTTATCAAGAACATTCACTATTTGTTTCTCTGTTTGTACTTTACAATAGATACCTTTATGAAGATCTGTCTCTTCTGACTTGGCTCCAAGGAGATTGATCTCTTCTCAGGATACACATAGAAGATATGACCCTTTTAGGTGAAGATGCTGACAACATATAGCAATCTCTGTTTATTTCTGTATTAGCTAGTAGAAAAAATTTAATCGGGCAGTTAACAGACTGTTGATTATACTGATGACGAAAGTGTCATTTATGACTAAATTTTAAGATTCCATCGGTGAATTATGTGATAGTTTTTATTTATGAAGTAAATTTTCTGGTTAATATTTATACAATCAAATGAATTGCTTGTGTAACAATGTTCTGTTTCTTTTCTTTCTATCCCTGTTAATATACAATGTGTTGAAGTTTATTTTCACCTGGATTCCTATTATTACGTTGTTTACCGTCTTCATTATGTATACATGGTGGACATTTGTCATACTTACCATTATCATCATCATCTTCGACATCTTTATCAAATAATAAGCAAGAGTATCAACAGTCATTATTCCAATTGATTATACAGAAGATTAGATCACTTTCATCAGTTAATCTACAACAACATCCATATCAAGCTTCATTTACTCAGTAAGTTTTAATGGTTTAATTTCATTCTTATATCATATAGATGTAAGTTGTAACACCGATTTTTATTAAGTGACTCCAAACGAGTCACCTTAGCAACCGGTGAGATTAAAAAAATAATAATTGATTTTCACCTAGATAAGCGATTATTGCATAAAATATAGAAACCTAATTGGTTATTTCAGTAGTTGCTAGACTGGCATTTAGAGTCACTCGTCTCATCAGTGGACCTTTCTGGCACTAAGTAGCAAAGAGTAGTTGATTTCTTCAAGTTTTTGTGATTTTACTGTTACACAGATGGCTTGATGGTTTCTAGAGTTCTGGTGGAATCGGTAATATTATAAATGATAAGACGATTAGTAGAAAGCTCTGGACGTAGGTCTCATCCTTGTTGGCATTCATCAGTAAGACGTTTCTACAACCTCGAGAAAACTGATGCCCCCCCCTTCCTGAGATTCAACTCCGTGTCATCCAGTGTTGCAGTTAGCGACATTACCACAGAGCTATTCAAACCGCAGCTGACCTCCCATATGACTGGATCAGGCACATCGATTGGTTACGTCGTGCACACGAGCGTTTTTTTAGTGCTTCGCATTGGTTGCATATCTGGCTGTATAACTGAGTGGTATTGGTTCGAATCCTTCTGGTTGCGGGTACTACTTCTTGTCAATCCATTGCCAATAGGCATGAAACCTAGAGGAAGCCTGACTACCTACTGAATGTCCTCTAAAGTCTAACACTGAAGATACAGTGCACCGCAGTATCGCATCACTTATCTGAAAAGGATGGATGCATTGCAAATTTGATCAACAGATTTCGATGATTGCCAACTAATAAAGATTTAACCTGCATATTGAGTTGTATGGTTTAGAATATTTATCAAGGTAGTAGCAACTATCAAAGAAGAATGTTTGTAAAATCCCATTGAGGTAAATGAGTACATCTCTGACGTTTCGCGACCTCTTGGAATCTACTTCTTCAGAGAATAAAACCTATACAATTTATCGCATGTTAAAAATAGGTGAAGACGCTGACAAGATGCAGAGTCTCTTGAACACCTTGAGTGACAATTTGAGAATATTTCGAATGCGTTTCTCACCACCCAAATGCAAACAATTACTCCACGATTGGTCTTCAACAGTGTCCCACCGTGGCTAACAATAGAGAGTGTAGTGGTTGAGTGTGCTGGGACCAGCCGTGCCCTGGTGGGTCAGTGGTCGACGATAACTCTGCACTAATACCATAGGTTTGGTTGCCTTTTGCCAACCTACACCACCTGTGATATCCGATTGTGTATTGAGGTTCGCGTGTGCTGCACAGCATTCTGATCTGTTCTACTGTATGGCTGTGAATGATGGCTATTGAAGGTGTAAGACGTGAGAAGGTTTCAGGTGATTGACCAGGGATGTCTTCTTAGCATGTGGTATGGTGTTTCGTGGTGTCACGACGTGTGTAGTGGAGAATTCAGGTGTAGAGTCTGGAAAGACAATGAAAGTGTCACGCATAAACCACCCATCTCAGAGAACACAATACAACCAAGATAATTGAACTAAGCAACCTGTTATATATAGTCAGGAGGCTATAGGCTGTAGGGGACGATGAATACTAATTCCAGCTGCTTTTATTACGTAGATTACTTATAATCTGCACTAAAGTTGGATCATTTTAGTTATCCTTGATGATTGATGATGATGAAATAGTAAACGTCAATATATCAGATCACGTTAATCATACATGATAACAGTAATATTGGACTGAGTTTTATCACTATCAATTATTAGTCCAGTAATTCAAGGTGAAATCTATTTTTCTGTTTAATTAAAATTCTACATATATATTTCTTTTTTTATCCATTTACCCAACGCTGTACTTATCCATTTTTATCACATAAAATTTTGACCCTGAAGTCTACAAAATGACTAGCAGAATTACAGATTACACCGTCAAGATGAAATCCTTCTACCGGGTTGATGTAACGTTCCAAGTAGTCACTTTTGTATGATATAATCGCCAACAGCTGATTGATTCATTGATAGAAATTTAGGGAACATCGTATTTGTAAATCCAAAATAGTATTTCGAGATCATCAAAGAGCCGTTTAATGGTAGCTTTTTATTTCCTTGATTTCAGGTACTTGACTTTTATCCTCTTTGACAGCTTGTTTTAGCCCAACTTCCAATCACTTCTCAATAATAATCGTAATAATTGTGTATATCTTTCCAAGAAATTCGGAACCAAAATGATTCTCCAATAATCAACGAAACGCTTTAGTTACGCGTACAATTCAAAACTCTGGATATCTCTGAAACGCGGTCCACTATGAACAAACAATAGTAAATAATAAGTTACAAAGCTCGAATGGTGAGGTATCTGTGGGTTTATTGCTGTCAAAGCACCTTACAGACACCGTGTCAAGAGTAAAACAAACAGCAAACCTGTACCCACCGCAAACCGAAAGGGAATATAAAGGACGCGTGTATTTTCCCATACATACATACATCGTCTAGAAGGACGATGAAAGCTTCACGATTAAACAACCCAGCTCAGAGAACACAATACAACCAAGAGTGTACCATGTATCCACGATCTTCGCTTACTCTTAAAGCTACAAGAAGTCTTAAGCGAGTTTCAGAAGTTTAGTCAATCTGAAACATGACACTACTGTGGTGTAGAGTGGGAAGCACCTTTCCAGTGTATATAGAGTTACATAAAATGTACCTAAATTATTGATTCAGTAAGAGAATAACAATGATTATTTGGCATTTGACATTTTGTTGGATTTTTTTGCTTTAAACATCATTGTCGTCGCAAATCATGATGGAAGGATCAGAAAAAAGATCACCACAAATGTAAACATTTCTTTCACCAAATACAGATATACTCTAAGTACTTCAAACCTGAAAAGTCACATATAAACAGATCAGTATGTCAATTAAGATACATTGCCGTAAGAATGTGTGCATCATAAGTTCATCAAGAAGTTTACACCGCTTTAGACATGTCAACTAACGGAGTTGGTAATCTGTTCATATATCCTTCGTTTTGCAATATATCAATGATCCTTAATGATTCCTAGTTCAATAAGGAAGAATAAAAATTCCCTTATGACAAATTTTTTTTGAATTCCTCTCTCTAGTACTTATTTAGTATTTGAAAAATACGAGATTACTGAGAATTGACCGTGTTTGTCCTGTTTCATCATCCCTATTGAAGTAAGTTTGATCTTCGAATGTTCCATTTCCATTAGGTCTCAGAACAGATGTGTAACTGTAGATTGTATTCTTGTTTCAGAAGTGCACACATATCTGTTCATTATAATGTTACACACATATACAAACACACACAGAGCTATGATTTGAGTTGGTCATACATTGATAATGGTGTATTACATAATCAAAAGTTGTTTTTCTCTCTTCTTCCTAGTGACTTCAATAGTCTCATTGACTTTTTGTGCCAAATCGATGGATTAGTATCACGTTGTCCATTTTTGAATACTGATGATAATGTTATCAGCTCAAAGTACTCACATTTACTAGATCCAACTTATCAACAGTCTATGGTAAGTACCTAGTTTATCGTTTAACTGCTACTGTTTATTTTGTTTCATCTATCTACTGGTAAAGGAAGTTATATTCTAAGGAAGTTTGTCGTAATCATAAATTTTTATTGTTATTAGTTCAGTTGACTGTGCATCCATGAAACTCATTTCTACCGTGGCAGGTATGATAGATAATCTTGTCTAGATGAAATTCTGTCAACCAAGAGATTTGAATTTGATTAAGTAAGACCATATTGGTTTGTATACCTTACTCTCAGTCTGTTGGTTACGATTTGTAATTCAACTTCATCAAGTTCAGTTTGAGTAACCTGCCAATCTTCACACTGGAGGTGTAGAGCTCACCGTCGAGTACTTGACCCCTTAAATTGTTGTTGGATTGTATTTTCATACTTTAATATCATGATATCACCAATTAATCGAGCATATATTACCTGTCTATGGATAAATTACTTAGAATATATAGCTGTTTAACTAACATAATAATATGTCTAACATAGTTGTATATGAAGTTTCAATATGATGTCATGGATAGATTCTCTTTCCGTTTTTCCCGGAGTTTTTCTTATTTTACCTATCCAACTCCTGGTATGGTTATTATCTCCGATATGGATGTACTATGTAACTGGATCCTCATGAACTTATAATTAACGCCTTGCCTTATACTGTGATGAATTATTTCTCCAACTAGGTAGCATTTTGTAATGAGGCTCTTTGACAGACATAACGTGCGATTTAAATTCTTATGTCACAGTTTTAGGCACAATGAAGAGCTACTTGGTTAGAGAATGAAAATTTATTGGCGCTATACTCTACGGTAAAATTTACCTTGAGATATTAGAACAAATTTTTAACTCAAGTTGAGGATGATGATTCTCCGATGTTCTTCGAGCTTTGAAGTTAATTCTGTAATGTTTCATCACCATGTTAGGTGACTTCATCTGCATTTATTTCGTACAGAAGTCACACATTTTCAAGTTAAATTGATGCTTATAAAGGATATTTGTTGACCTTGAGAGTTTATTACCTATCAAAGATTGACCTTTACAATTGTTGTTATCGCTTAGCGTATGCTGTTGACTTAATGTCTCATTGAATTAGAGGATTTAGAGATTTTTCCAAGTTGGTATTCATCATGGGCTGACATCAGTTGTTGGAATATTAAAAACCTGGGAGCATTCGACAACTGTTTCATCCTAGTATGGGGCTCTTCAGCAGTGCGCACCCACAACCCGCCAGGGATGAAAACCAACCTCAAATATCTTAAAATGTCCATAAACCTCAAGTTCAATTGAACTGGTGCTCATTAGTGATTAGCTTCGAGAGGTGATTACTGCAGTCCCAATTAGAAGTCGTGATCAGTGAGGCAAATCTGGTGGTCATGAAGACAAATACTCAACGATGACATTGGGTGGTGGTCACGCTCTGTCGTGAACTAACTAACATTGGAAGTATGTTCCAGTGGATTTCCATCCAGTGACTCACAGGTCCGATCTCTGGCGGGGTCGCGGGTGCGCACTGCTGAGGAGTTCCATGCCAGGACGAAACTGGTTGATCAGTGCCCCGAGGTTTCCAATGTCCCTCCAAGTGATGTCATTTCATGAGGAAAACCAACTTTAAATAATGTCTGATTGTTGTTTTGCTTGGTTCCGTTGATCCCTTCTGAGTAGCCTCTATATAGAGTCAGTGTATACGAGTTTGTTGATTGGATTACCGTGCTTCCAGGAATTATCTTTCAATCTTTGAACTTGTTTGTTGTAGTATCTTCACGTAGTCCCAATTGAAGTTGTGCTTGTGTTCATCTACGTGTATTGAAATCAACAAGGATATATCAAGTTGTTTGAGTGCATGTTGGATTGGCCAACATAGTGATGTTAACAGTGTTTACAACTAATTTTATAGATTATATTCATCTTGTTTTCTTTGGATAGTGGATTCTGTAACTTGCATAATATGTTTTGTAAGGATTTGATTGTTTTGTGTGCTGCACTTCTACCGAAGAGATGAACCTTCTTAATCTTTGTTCAGATCATAGTCTACTTTTTACTAGCACCAAGTTCCTTTACATTTTTCATCAGTATTATACGTAGTTTTCTTGTGTTGTTCACACCTGAAGTCAAATCTATCCAAGACTACTAGTCTTTCTGAAGTTTCTGTATAGATTCTAAGGATGCCCTAGAGTAGTATGTCAAGTCTAGTGTGTTTCATGGTCAACTGAACCATCTTCTGACTAACCTTAGATGCATCTCAAAAGATACTATAAAAATTGTGAGTAAAAGTTCTTTCAGCTTTAATGAGCGTGCTTCTCATGAACGTTATGTTTTTGTGAATTCCTTAAACTGTTGATTCATCTCGGTTGATGACATCTAGCCCAATATGTTTTTAAGTCTGTTACTTAGACAATATTATAAAGCTTACCTAACAACTTCATGACAAAACAAATAGCTGAGATGCAATGACTATCTGCAACATATACGGTGTTGTTTGACAGGTTGTATGTTGTGAGCAAGAAAAAAAAATACAACTCAGCGACCATGCACAGATTTGCACACTAGTTAATAGTCTGGGAGCTAGTAATATGATCTGGCTTTTTAAACCTCAAAAGATGAAGAGGAGTTCGAACGTGTAAGATTTTCTAGTATGACTGTAAAAATTGCTCACTCTTATAGAATATAATTCTATTTTAATTGATTTATTGGATGTATGACTTTTCTTGGACACAATTTACTGTTATATCAGGGTAGAGTTATCTTGATATGATTATGGACAATAGATTATGTCCTAAATATAATCCTTTCACTATATGATACGTCTAATATAAATCTACTCAAATGGTATACTACATTTTCTACGAAAATGTACAGTGTACCTACATGTTTTACTTTATCCACTTGTTTTTTTTTTCTTTTGACCTTTTTTTATAGATTGATATACTTTTGTTTCATATTAATTGGAAACCTTTGAATTCATTAATGCAAACAGCGCATTCTCTATGGACTACTTATCAGTATATGCCTAAATCAAATTTGAAAAGTATAAAAGATGAAGATAGTTTAAATGTTTACCCATCATCGTCATCATTATCATCAGGTGAGTTGTATTTTTTATTATTACTCATAATTCTATGCAGCATAGATATCAAGAGATATATTCCACAAAAAATAATGAAATAACATTCTGAAGACATTTAAAACTATCGAACTGATCTGACAAGTAGCCTCATACAATCCATTCTAAGGAGTGTCAGGGATGGTCACACCTTGTGATCTTGACTGAGCAATGATTTCCAGCAGAAACGCTGCTGTTGGATAGTTTTTTTTTAAAAAAATAGCCAACTAGCTAGATAGAGGTATTATTATTTGTCTCTTGGGTTCCTAGTGGAACATAGGGCTTCAGTAGCACGTTTTCACTGCACTCTCTTCTCTGCTGTCTTTTCAACCTGGCTCCACGACTGCCAATAACCTTTCATTTCTTTCTCACACAATCTCCTCCATGACACCCTTAGCTGGGACGCCCAACTCGTCGTTTTTCATCTCGGTTCCATTCGAGGACGTGGCCTGACATGTGATGTCCCCAAAAGGTCGTCTCAGTGTATGTCTAATCCAATTCATCTCCACTTCTCTCTTCTGCATATTTGTTGGGTGATGAGTTGTTGGTTGGTTGGTTCGTTGCCAGCCAACAAGCCAGTCAGCCCGAGTTGCTTATTCTTACTATTCTGTCCATCTGATCTTCAATGTCAGTATGGAGTGAGTGTATGTGGTAGTTGTTGATGTGATGTATGTCTGTAGTTTGTTGTAAATGCTTTTTGTAACGTGCCAAGTCTCTCAACCATCACATAGAAGCACTGACTGACTTGAGTGATATTAGTGTTGAGGATCGGGATGTTGTTCACTTTTTATGCTGAGTTCAGTAGATCTCCACACTGATTCCAGGTTAATGCATGAAGACTTGTCTTACTGTCTTTCCGATCCTGACTTTGTTGTCCTCATCTGAGCCGCAACTTGTAGTTGAAACGATGCTGCTTAAGTAGGTGTAGGTGAAAGAGATTACTTCTTTTAAATTTCTCCCGTTGATGATAACTGGTGCTTGTTGTTGGCTGTGTATCTTCAACACTTGTGTCTTCTCTACGTTCGCCAGAAGTCAGTCTCGACTACTCTGCCTCGCCTCTTCTGCAACTTGTTTGTTTTCGCGTGTAGTTCTTCGACATTATACATAAATCATCATCGGCGAAATCTAAATCTTTTAGGGTCTTTTTATCAGTCAAACAGCGTGTTTCCATCTTCTCGCTCAAACAGTAGTATACTAAGTTTGAATCGGATTTTTATTTTGTTGTGAAAAAGTGGAGTGTGGTCTCATAAAACGCCAGTTCAAGACGCATCAACAGCGTACACTTTCTCCTTCATTAAGTGTATGTGATTCTTAGCACTTCTGATATTCCTTTCTCTATAGCCTAGAGCTTTGTCTTATAGGAAATTCGGCAATTGTGCTGTGTGGCTAGTTTACTGAAGTTAAAGTTATCATCTGTTGAATAACATCTTAGGGACAGCGAATACTGTGATCATTGTACAACTAAAATGTCTTAGCTACATAATATATTTTCTTAATGGCTAATGTTAGCCAACGTCTCAAAGTTATACTATTCAACCTCCCTCTGCAATGTTGATTGATATGAACATTTATCTTAGGAACCGTGTACAGAGTTGGCTTTGATGTTCCCTAACTTCTATAACAGTTTTTAAACATCAGCGGATATCCGTTTTCCATAAATGTTTTGGTCAGTAATTTGATATCTTCACCCATCGTATCTGGTGTACTGGTACGATAGATCCTACTTAACAGGCATTTTACTAGACCTCGCTTGTATTGGATTGGACGACAGCTGTGAAATTTCAGATATTATCCTTCCTGTCCATGTAGGCTTTCTGTAAACTGACCGTCTCATTGAACCATCTTCTCGTCGACTCTAGAGTACGGCTAAGAATGGCAGATGATTATTATTCTCTTTCTCACAAGTCAGGTTGATATGAGTTTGTACTGTGTCAAGTCTTTTTTGTAGATAAGCCATATCCTCATGCCTCTCACAAATCACTATGATGTTATCAACATATTTTTTGTCACGAGAAACTTTACCGATGAGATCTCCAGTTAGATTTTCGATATATGACATATAAAGACACAAGACTTTGTGAAGTAAAGACTAGTAATGGTTTTAAGCGGCTTCCCATAGCTACACCGTCAACCTGTTATAAGTGTTCATCGTCACATAAGAGATGAATTCCATGAGAAAAGTTGGAGTAATAGGGAATGGGAGGTTTCTGAAAGATATATAGTCACAGAATATGTTAATGTGTTTATGGTCACACATACATAGGGAAGAGTAATCAGGCTATGCATTTGAGGACAGAAGAAAATATACCTAGAGTGTTTTAGTATCAACGTAGTGGGGGGAAGTATATGGTATTCAGTTAAAGATATGGGACCAATCTATGACTTATGGTCATAGATATGTAGGTGACTGTATACGACAACTGTCATCGATGATTGCGGACGCTAAGTGTATATACCAATGAATCTATCACAAGGATAACAATACATGTAAGTCTTTGCTTCACCTAAACCTTTCTCTCTCTTATATCATCTTTCGCCCTATAACATTCTGCATCTATCGATAGGATTATTTTCTTTCTTCTTCCTTCCCTTTGATTTATTTTCATTCATCTCAATATATTAGTGTTAAGTATGTCAATTATAGATCAATTTTACTCTTATAAATTAACACTAGCATTAATGATCATTTTCCCTTGTTTTATAGTATCTCCTGAGTCAAGTTTACTACGCCTACAGAATAATGAATCTTATGAACATCGTGTTGAATTATCACGTTCATCATTCGAAGTATTATTCTCGTCATCATCATTCATGACACTACCTTCATCAATTGAACAATTCGCAAACTATATTAAGGTAAGTAAGTTTTCGTGAGTTTAAGTAGTTGAAAGCGTTAGTGTAATAAATATTTTTTAGTAAACAGTCTTTCTCGTCTTCAATATGTCATACCTTCTTTTGAATGATCAGTCTGAAGTGATACAGAATGCTTGACAGAAGAGCTGAATCGTGAATAATGTTTAAAAGTTGTAGTTCATTGAATTAGGCGTTAACTATCAACCCTGCTCCATCTATTGAGGTTTAAGCAGCCAGGTGATAGTAGCATTAGCCATCATATAAAAGGCTTGGCTCACTGCTTACTACACAAATGTGCATAAAGTTGCTGAGTGTATATAGAGTGTACTAATTACTACCGAGTTGCTAAGAGTTATGATTTGATTATCTAAGATAGCCTTAGTTTGGCGGACTAGTATTTGTAATGAGTAGTGATTGAAGGCGAGATGAGAATCTGGACCGCGGCCGGATTCGAACCAGCGACCACAGTGTTACCGGCCTGGTGCTCTACCAACTTAGCTACGAGGTACGACTGCTGACCAGATTCTTATTTCACTTCAATCACCAAGGGTTTTGCCCGACTACCATGTGGATTCGTGACGCGTTACTACCGCTTGATCGTATTCATACTGGCTGCCTAGTCAGTCAGGACTTCTCATCCCAACCCAAATCTAACTGAATCAGAGAGGCGAAGTATCATATTGGTTATGATTTGACTATCTAAGATAGCCTTAGTTTGGCGGACTAGTATTTGTAATAGGTGATGATTGAAGGTGAGATGAAAATCGGGACCGCGGCCGGATTCAAACCAGTGACCAGTGGGTTACTGATTAGGATTGCATTCTAATTCAGTCAATCATGATAGCGTTGGTCCATGAAATCTGTTATTGATAGATGGTTGGATGTGAATGAAAACTTGGATTATAATCAGGTTTGTACCAAAGACTATTTAATGATGACTTAGTATCCTGATGAAATGCTTCTGGCGAACCGTTCATGGCTTTAAATTCAATCGTCAAGCATCATATTCTCATCTAGTGAGTAAGAGACCTACAGACTTTTTTTTCCACTACAATACCTTTCTGGATATTTCTTTTTGTTCTAGTCAAGTTTCATTGTTCACTCATTGTCGAATAGATATCTGAAAGGCTAATTTGTATCTGATCGCCAGATAGGCGTTCTCCTTACTGTTATCATCAGTTTTGTATCTTTATATTATTATTATTCTATTTTTTAGTTTGGTTATAAGTGTTTTGGTGAATCTTATTGCTATCCACATTTTCCGTGTCAAATTGAGATTAATATCTACTATTTTCAGGTGTTTTTGAGCAGATGTAGCAACAAACATCATCTTCATAACCAATGAATGTGTAGTTAGATGATTTAGCTGCTTACCTCTCAATCATTAGGCCACATATATTTAAATTTGACACTTTTGTTTCGATTTCAGGAAATAGGTCTGTAAGAATGCAAACTAATCCCGCCTGAAATTTCAGTAGATCTTCCTCAAAAAGCTGACAAATTTAATCTACCCCCAGATGTTTCTAGCTGATCTACAGGAGACCATAAACCTAGTTTTAATGTGCTTTTTTGAGAACTTTTTGACAAGATGTATCTGTATTTGAACACTGGCTGGCGTACTTGAGACTATTATGAGGTATTAGGTGAGTTGTGCATACCGAATGCTGTCTATCAGCTTATGAAGATTCTCCTCTCTTCGTAGGACTCTACAAGGTTTGACTATGGTAGACCTAGAATACACAGATGATATAGTCTTGTTGTTCCAGACTGGTCTGTGTTGGTGCATCGTCTATTGATAGGTAGTGAAACAGTTAAGTTCATTGACCATTTCATTTACCTGGGAAATCGAATCAACCTCGGGAAAATCTTTGGGCAGATATAGAACTCTAGATTAACTTCTGCCAAATTGCGCCACTCAAGGCACCCCCAAGATATCCCATTGCATATTAAAAATCAAAGTCATTATAATACCGTTCGCTCTGTTTTATTATATGAGTGTGAAACGTGGTCATTAAAGTTAGAGAACTTGAAAAGACTTCAGATGTTCGACCATCATTCCCTTCGTAGTATTAGCCGTATGTCGTGTAACCAGCACACACTAATTAATAATTTTGAGGTTAGGTGTAGAGTTTTAGGCAGAAGACGTAAGTTAGTTCATTAGGTTGTAAATATTTATCAATTTAAATGACTGGGACATGTGTTATGCATGCCTATTCATTATCTATCCTGTTATGTAACATTGGCTGAAGTAGGTTCAAGCTGGATGACGGTTAAAAGTGGTCAAAATAAAATACCGCGTCAGTCAATACAGTCTATGGCTTTTGAACTGAGTCGTTTAGGATGGACAGATTACTGATTGAGGTCCATATGACAACCGAAATTGGTGATTAGAAATTGTATCTGACATGATTTAAAATCCATCTCAATGGTGTAGAAACTACCTCCGTACTATATTTTGCATACAGAATTTCAATATTATTTTTTCCTTTTTTTCGCTCCTGTTTTACTACTTTTAAGAAATTCCTTGCCTTATTCCTCTCTTTCACATTGATGACTGACTGTATCTAATACCTTGAAGAATCTTATATCCTCTCAAAGGTTAAAATCTGCATCACACAGACTTGACTAATGAATTATGTAGCTCACAACTGAACTGCTTTAGTACCGAATTATTTTGGATTATATTTTGTGCTTTATAACTCTTATTTTTATATAATCATGAGTCAGTTTATGTTATCGTGTTATGATTGAAGCTGAAATTAAAACTCCGCTGTCACTACATTGCCTTTGTTTCCAGTCCTACTCGTAATTCATGTTTTCACTGGAAATTCAATTATCATCTAATTATATCAATATCAGTCCATTATTATTATTATTATTTGTCTCTTGGGTTCCTAGTGGGACATTGGGCTTCAGTAGCACACCTCCATTGCACTCCGTTCTCTTCAGTCTTTTGAATCTGGATCCACGACTGCCCACAAGCTGTCATTTCTTCCTCACATCATCTCCTCCATGTCACCCTCAACTGGGACACCCAACTCATCGTTTCCCCTTTGGATTCCACTCGACGACCTGACATGGTGCGTGATGTCCCCAGTTGGCTTTCTCAGTGCATGCTCAATCCATCTCCACTTCCTTCTGCATATTTGTTGAGCGTTAGGTTGTTAGTTGGTTCGTTGCCAGTCAGCCAGAGTTCCTTGTTGCTTATTGTTTCTGGCCATCTGATCTTGAGTATCGAGTGAGTGTAGGCGGCAGTTGTTGATGAATAACTGTAGTTTGTTGGAAATGCTTTTCGTAAGGCGCCAAGTCTCTGAACCGTATAGAAGCACTCAATATCAGTCTATTGAAGTAAAACTTTTTAGTTATTCTAAACAAGAGAATCTGTGTTTATGTTTTATTTTTACTAAACTCTAATAATTATAGGATACTACAGATGTACTACGTCAATATGCTAAACAAATGTGTGAACGTATTGAACGTATTGAAAAGTTACAAACTGATGTCTGTACAAATATTTTACCGAAACTGTATACCCCTGTACGTGTAAAGCTCCTTCAATATGTTGAATGTCAATCAAGTAGGTTATTTTCTTTAAAAGCTTTTACTCTTTTTTTTTCTATTATCTGGTTTTTATACTTAGCTTAGGATCATCAGGTCAATTATTCTGAACTGTACCTCATCGAATAGGACTTTCAGCTCATAAACTTCATATCGACGATTGAAAAACGCTATCAATCAATAGTTGTCCGTTAGAATTTTCTCAAACATCTATGAGAATATATATGAAAAAAAGGAAACCATAATGTGTTAGTAGTATTCGTATTTGTGAGAGTGTAGAGTGATGAATTAATTTATGTAATCCAATCCTACAGTATGTCAGTGGTCACATCGTTGGCTGTAACATTGGGTGATGCGAATGTGAATCTCAAATAGGAGTATCAGTTCCCTCGAGGTTGGAGATAAGCCTTGCTGACGAGCACCAATAAGTATGAAACCTATGTCCAAGAATTCCCGCCGACTACCTCCAACCAAAAAACTATAGTGCATTAGTAGTATTTGTAACTCCAAGAGAAATCAAAGTTATAAAACAAAAGTCGCGTAGAGAAAAGTCACTTTTTTCAGCGATATCATTGTCAAACTGTACAATCGCGTATAAATATTTTATTCACATAGTAACAAGAAAAGAATATTTCGTAAAATATTTTTGAAGGAAATTCAATTTTGATTATAAATCAGGATATCGAAAAAAGAATTAAGTAGTGTTTGAAACATTTTTCCGAGTATATACCAGCCTGATTCCGTAAAGGAGAAAGTAGGACATCTCACAGCTCTATTTTAGGAACATTTGATCGATTATGACCACCTGTTATTATTTATTATTATTTGTCCCTTGGGTTCCTAGTGAAACATTGGGCTTCAGTAGCACACCTCCATTGCACTCCGTTCTCTTCAGTCTTTTGAATCTGGATCCACGACTGCCCACAAGCTGTCATTTCTTCCTCACATCATCTCCTCCATGTCACTTTCAGCTGGGACACCCAACTCATCGTTTCCCCTTTGGATTCCACTCGACGACCTGACATGGTGCGTGATGTCCCCAGTTGGCTTCCTCAGTGCATGCTCAATCCATCTCCACTTCCTTCTGCATATTTGTTGAGCGTTAGGTTGTTAGTTGGTTCGTTGCCAGTCAGCCAGAGTTCCTTGTTGCTTATTGTTTCTGGCCATCTGATCTTGAGTGTCGAGTGAGTGTAGGCGGCAGTTGTTGATGAATAACTGTAGTTTGTTGGAAATGCTTTTCGTAAGGCGCCAAGTCTCTGAACCATATAGAAGCACTGACTTGACATTGGTGTTGAAAACCTGGATCTTGTTCTTTGTGCTGAGTGGAGTACAGTAGTTCTCTACACTGATTTTAGATTAGTGAAAGCCTATCTTTCTTTTCCGATCCTGGTTTTGACATCCTCATCTATGCCGCCTGTAGTTGAAACAGTGCTGACTAGGTAGGTGGAAGAGGCAACTTCCTTTAGATTTCTCCCGTTGGTGGTGATGATGATTGGTACTTGTTATTATTGTTGTTGGTTGGTTATCTTCATCACCTCTGTCTTCTGTACATTCACTTGAAGTCCCGTGTTCGCTGCCCTGCCTCTTCTGTCAACTTGTTAGTTTTCGCCTGTAGATCTTCAAGTTTGTGTGACATTAGACACAAGTCATCGGCGAAATCCAAATCTTCTAGGATCCTTTCCTCGGTCCAGAAAGCGTATGCCGATCTTCTCGCTCATCACAGTTTGTTGCATGATCCAGTCCACCACAATCAGGAATATCCCCTGTCTTCACTTCGAAGGCGTCACTAAGTTTTTCATTGTGGATCACAACTTCAGCGTTATCTATAAAGTTCGTGAAAGGTTTACACCTGAGACTTTTTCAAATTACGTAAGCCATGGTAATTAATATTTTAAAGCCCGAACTCTGTGTTCAAGAGAAATTTGTCCAGTCACTTGAGTTTCAATGGATATAACCTATAAGAATATTTTATCCTCAAAGTCTTTTCTTTTACATCTTCTCATACATCATAATCATTCATCCCTAAAGTTCTGATTTCTCATTATATTCACCAATCCCTTCAACCATATTACGTCAGTCAACCTAGTAACCAAGTATTTTTTTCGGTCTTCATAAACTTTCTTCTCATTACTATTTCAAATACTACGTAATTTTTTCTCCTATCTCCTAGTTTAAAATCGAAACTGAACTTTGTCCAAAGATGAAACATTCCTTTTCTGTTGCTATATGAATAGACTATGCATATATGACTTGTAGAGCTTGAGAATGATGTCTCTGAAAAGAGTTGACTCTTTGTTAGGCGTCTTCTGTTTTATGGGTTAATCGAGGATTGTCTAAGCTGCAGAAGTCAAAATCTCTGTTGTGTTTTATTCTGCTTAGGAATCTTAACAACTCTGTGATTTCGGTGACACTTAAAATCATAAACTCAGCGAAAAACTTTATGGATTGAAAGGTCATATCGATTCAGTTAAACGAAATAATCTAATCTGCGGAATATTATGCGTTGACTATGAGGTCAAGTAAATAGGTTAGTCAGAATATCGGATAAATAATCTGTGATAAGGGTTAGTCATTTCTATGCCTAGACTGATCCATAGTCATACTATATGGTGGAATAAAGTGGTCGTTCTAAAATCTAATATAACTGTATAAAAGGAAGAGACTGACTATCGAATGTTTCTTCATCAAATCAACAACTAACATATATGACAGGAATGCTTCTGGAAGGTTCTGCTAGCGTTAAAAAAAACAACCGTAAAAGGCTGTTAAATTGTAAAGATGAAGTTTTACAGTTGTGTGAAAACTTTGATCTGATTATGAACAATATATTGTGCTCTGAATGTCATCCAGTAAATAATGCCTTATCAATATTTGTTACCTATCAAGTTGGTTAGCCATTAATAAGAACAAATGTTCTACTCTAAGTAAAACCTACTGTATCTACACACCTTAACCGTTTGAACCTTGTGAATTAGATCTGTCGATTAGGTATACAGTGCAAACGAATGAAATCATTGTCAGATGATTTAATCGCTTTAATGGGACAAACAAAAAACGCCGTATTCAGCGACGCCTTATATTGTCGATTCACCTACGTTGTACAGATTTAACTAGATTCCTTTCTTCATAAAAGTGTTAAAGGTGCTATAAAGTTGGTTATATATTTACGTAGTATTCATTATGGACTGACATCAATTGAAGAACTATTGGAAATCTGGGAGCACTGGATAGCTGTTTCGTCCTAGTATGGGAATCCTCAGCAGGTTGCACCCACGATTTGGTTAGGGATACAACTCGAAACCTTCAGGTTTCACGGCGAACACACCAACCATTCAACTACTGAGTCGGTTTTCAGTGGTTCACAATTTACAACTTCTGTCAATTCACGATATAGCGCGTCTATCACCCAAAGTCTTTAGTTTGCATTTGCTTTTCTTCCGACTGGTTGACTCCACAGGTCACAGCTTCTCATTGGAATTCTGGCATATCTATCTGGAAGCATATCACCAATGAACACTATACAGTAACGTATTTTGAGGTGAATAGGGATTTTAATTAAGAGGTATTATTCATCACGGTTTGACATTAGTTGGGGAGCTATTGGAAATCTGGGTGCACTGGACAGCTATTTCATCCTAGTATGAGACTCTTCAGCAATACATGCTTTGAGATGGATATCCCAGATGCCATTTCGCCTAACATTCCTATAAGGAAATAATGTATTCTGTTTATGGTGGAATACTTTTAAAGCATAACATTGCAGATTGGATCTGTCGCCTTACCCCTCATAACTGCTGACTTCATTCCAAATTGTTGGGTGATAGTATACTAGAATTTATGAAATCTCTTTGTTATAGGCAGATTATATATATATATATATATATATATATATATATTCTCCTTCTCATACAAAATCTTATAAGATAGTTGTGTATCTGTTGTTGTTATTTCCTTCTGTACATGTATATATACTTAGTTCTTCCTTCTTGGATGCCTGGTTATCAACCGTGCTCCGGTGGAAGTAATATATCATGTGAATATCAAACAGATAAACAAAGTGAAGAGATTGAACAATTGTATCAAATGAATAAGTGTGATATAGATAAATTAATTAAGGCAGCAAGAGATGTATCACAGAGTGCTGCATGTGATGTTCTAAATTACAACGAATCAACATCATCATCATCATCATTACCAGCCTCAGAAAGCGATGGTGTTAGTCAGAATTGGGCACGTACTGTACTACAATTACAAAATGCAGTCAGGTTAGTATTTCTTCAATTATTTTGTGGATGAAAATGATAATTACTTTTGCTTGTTTGGTAGTACTAATAATAATCACTTTATTCTGAATAATTTGTGGTACAATTTGAAATCCTCTGCATGTTATATAGCAACAACAACAACAACAACAACAACGAAATATATGGTATATATATACTCCTTTACAACATCCCGAATTGTGTTATTACAAGGATTTAAGTAATGTAAATAATAATAATAATAATAATAATAATAATAATAATAATAATAATAATGAGAACATTTCACATTACTAGTTAAATTACTGAAATGAGATTGGTTGTTAACTGTTACAAAGTTGATTTATGATCTCTAACACACTTTTCCTCACTCAATATGCGTCCTAGGTAAGGTAAAGTCGAATTCTTGTACTTGGCTGTACGAGCTGACAGTTTTATGTAATTTCTGCTTATCCTCCGTGAAGAGATACATGGGAAGAGCTGTAATAAAGTGGATGCTTAGTGTCAATTAACATGATTGTAGCTGGTTGCCTGCTAGAATTGAAAACTCTATCAATTATAGTGTCAATCAGTTGAGCCAGAGACACCACTAACCCTACTGACGGCTTTCAAAGCCCTACACAATATAACAGTCTTTTTTGTAGACCAGGAGAGATCAACGGAGAACAATAGAGAAGAATAGATAAAATGCAGGAATTATTAAATTGTAAAAGAAGTTATACCAGACAGCCTCAGTTTCTTTATGTAATACGTTAAACAAGATACGAGACGACAGACAGTTAACACTTGATTTACTTCCTACAGAAATGCCATCAATGCTGCAACAGACGTCATGGAACTTAAGCAGCTCATACGCTTGAGTCTAAAATTAACAGTCTTACATTTAGAAGGGTTTAAGTTGAGGCCATTGGTCAATTAGAGACAGGAATCCATTTAATTCAGAGGTAACTCAGTGAGAGTTATCTGGAATAGACACTCAATAAAATTAGTTTCAACAGAATAAAGTAAATCATGCATACAAAAAAATGAGAACAGAAACAGAATAAGTGCTGCATCTTGAGGCACATCAGCATCAGTAATCAATCAAGTGGAGTGCCTCCCTTTATAGTGACAGCATCTACAGTACTTCTCTTGTGCTTATGAGAAAATTGTTTTGCATCTCCGAAAACCTTCAATGAAGGCTCGAGCACCAGGATAATTAACTTCTCTATTGTCTTCAAAAAAAGGGAAGTTATTGCGATTGGTCGGAACTTGACATCTGATCCGGAAGATGACTTAAGCACATGTACAACTTTGAACTCGTTTCAAGCAGTGGGTATTGCATTTTTAGAGAATGATGCATTGAAGATATCTGTAAGTGGATGACATAAAATATCTACACATTTTCTAAGTGTGTGTAATGCTCAAAACACCATCATGATCTAAGCTTTGGGATGGATTCAAGGATTTAAGACATTTAAATATGTCATTTGTATGGAAACCAGAAAATCAGCTGTTCATTTGACTATGGACATTAGGAAGAATGAAATCAGCTTATCGACTTATAAATGATTTGTTTAACGTGCAGACACATCAGAACAAGTTTCTTTTTGTCATCTGTTTTCTGTCAGTAAGCTCTTTAAATAATTTCCATATTATGGAAGAGTTCTTGCACAATAGAAACTTCTGATTGTATTTATAAGTTGTATTTCAGGTCCTGGTCCTGGGACATAGGCATGCTTACAGACGCCCGACAATAGCTGTATTTCTCGATCTGAAGGCGGCATTTGACTCCGTTGATCGAGAAGTCTTATGGCAATGTCTGTCACTGAAAGGCGTGCCTAGTAAGTACATTACGTTATTGAAAGCTCTCTACTCGAACACTTGTGGGCATGTTAGAGCCTATGGCGAGTTGTCCAGGGAGCTATACCCATCAAGTGGTGTCCGTCAAGGATGCCCACTATCCCCATTCTTATTTAATTTTATCATAGATATTCTTATGGAGGTTTCCCTCTCGTCGCCTAATTACAGAGACGTTGACCTGATCACAGGTGAATTTTCTTTAGATCTAGAATATGCAGATGACATAGTCCTGTTAGGTGAAGACGCCGACAAGATGTACAGTCTTCTGAGCACTTTGAGTGGGAATTTGAGAATGTTTGGGATGCGATTTTCACCACCCAAATGCAAATTTTTGCTCCAGGACTGGTCTTCAGCGGTCCCACCGCCAACAATAGAGAGTGAAGTGGTTGAGTGTGTTGACCACTTCACCTACCTGGGAAGTAGGATCAACCTTGGTGGGTTAGTTGCCGATGAGATTTCTGCACGGATACAAAAGGCTCGATTGGCTTTTGCCAATTTGCGCCACCTATGGCGCCGCCGTGATATTCGTTTGTCTATTAAGGGTCGCGTGTACTGCACAGCAGTCCGCTCTGTTCTACTGTATGGCTGTGAAACATGGCCATTGAAAGTGGAGGATACAAAAAGGCTTCAGGTGTTTGACCACCGTTGCCTTCGTAGTATAGGACGTATTCCGTGGTGTCACCATGTGAGTAATGCAGAAGTTAGGTGTAGAGTTTTGGGGAGAAGAGGTAAGTCAGTCGACGAGGTTGTGAACCTTCATCGACTGAGATGGTTGGGACACGTACTACGTATGCCTAGTCACCGATTGCCTCGTCACACAATGTTGGCTGAGGTGGGTCCAGGCTGGAAAAAGGCCCGAGGTGGCCAGACTAAAACATGGCACCAATGTATGAAGTCTCTGACTGTTGGTTTAAGCCATGTAGGACGATGCAGACTAGGTGGTTGGGGTCCACGGGACAAGAGGAACCAGTGGTTGGAGACCCTAGGTGATATGGCTCAGAACCGATGTCAGTGGCGCAGATGTATACACACATTATCCTCATCTTAACAACGCTAAACGGAGTCTCACCATTTTGTCACTCCTCTTTCCTTTCTTCTCGTACTTTATATTTCTTTTGACTGCATTCACTTATCTTCATCCTTCACCTCACTACCTTTTTACTTGATGTGCTGATATGAGGTGTGGCAACTCGGACCGTTACGCAGTAATGCCTGGTCCTATGTTGATAATGATGATGATTTCAGACTTAATTAAGCAGTTAAGTCTTAACAAACTACATTCATACATCAAATAAGTTGTAAACAAATGCGATTATACAGTTTGGTGAATGAAAACACTGAACTACTTCTTTCAATTTTCAAATGATTTATAAATTTCACGGTCCACCTTGATAATTGTCATACCTGAGTAATTTTTCAACTGTGATACCAACAACTAACTGACTGACTGACTGACAAAATCTGCAGACCAGTGTAGGCGGTTTCTAGCTGCTCAAAGTATTGAGTAGTAGTATCTTTCTCCAGTTCATAACACTTTCCCTTTGTAACATTGAAGAACAAGATATTCAGTGAAGAGACTCTTTTCAACGAATTTATTTATAATCTGTACATTCGTATATATGTATTATATTTTAAAATTTATGATAAAAAGGGGAAGTATGAATGATAACAAAGTAGATTACGTAATGTGTGAGATGGTTCTCAGAAAGGGATGAATAAATTTATGAAAGTGGTAAATCAATTAACTATTGTGTAATAGGATTAGACAAGTTGGTCAAGATGAAATCAATGTTTTCTAAAAAAGATTAAGACAATTAGAAGGTAGAGTTTGAAGTGAATACGTATTTTCGGTGAATTACCGTCAGACTTTACATTTACAAATTATTCAACATAGTCTTCATTTGATATCAACATGATTAAGATTGACAAAACCTCGGCATTTAATATTATTTACAAAGTCCCATCCCAATACTCTAGGTTCATGCACCTCCAATTGCTAAGCATAGCAGAAGCCATAGCAATTAAAATTTCCAAACCCAATTTATGTATTCAGAAGACGCTTTGTTCATTCCCTTTCTCTTCCATGACATTCAACTTTAACTTAGATACAATTATAATAAATTCCCTCCCAGTTACTCGGATAAGTGTAAATGCAAATATTATCTCTGTTTGTACTCTTATCATTATCATTTCATCCTTAGTTTCATAATTGATTAAGAATTTTAACATTTTATTATCTGATAGCTATGCGACAATAATTTTATTTCCCTTTATCCTTATACACACATACACACACCTACAAGGATTGACTACTGAGAATATATAAACTTTCTGAGATTTTGTATTGTTATTATCACCCTACTGGTATCTTCTAATTCATATATGCAAATTAATTTAATCATTTAGTACTATTTATTGACATACTTAGGATTCTCCGTTGTTTTGTTGGATCGAATTGTTTCACCTCTATTGTCTTATGGGCTCTTATGCGGAAGTCTAGATATTGCCTGAATGTTAATTATGATAATTTCGGTTGGTTGTGGCTAGCAGATGAACCGAGGACGCACGTTTCGTCCTATTTGGGACTCATCAGCTGGATGTACCTGCACCCCAGAGTTGTTCTCACTGAGACTCGTACCTCGTACACATCACTTCAAACGCCAAGGCATTATCCACTGTGCCAAGAAGGAACGATAGCCACTTTTTGTACAACGGGTAGTTGTTATGACTATTTATTGACATACTTGTTATTCTCCGTTGTTTGTATTGTCGGATAAAATTGTTCGATCTGTATTGGCATATGGGCTCCTATGCAGATGCCTCGATGTTGCCTGAATGTTAATTATGGTAATTTGGTTGGTTGTGGCTAGCAGAAGAATCGAGGACTATGACGTGTATTTTTACTTGTGTAATCCTGACGTAGCATATTAGAACAAATAACAAAATTAACAAGTGTATTATTTCTCAACGTTTCCATCTTGCTAGGAAGATCCTTTTCAAGAGTATGAATCTGACATTAAGTTTTCAGGTTAATATTCAAATTTTGGTGGTGACCTTTACAATCATCCAATTACATCGTGATATGGAGCAAAGATCGATGTAATACAGGTGAGTGAATAAGCCAATCAGTCAGAGAGACATTTTTCAGTTGTGCAAGTAAG